GATGATGGTGGTGATGGTGATGGTGATGGTGATGGTGGTGGTGATGATGATGATGGTGGTGGTGGTGATGATGATGGTGGCGATGATGGTGGTGATGATGGTGGTGATGGTGATGGTGGTGGTGATGATAATGGTGGTGGTGATGAAAGATAGTGGTAATGATATAGTGGTGGTCATGATGATGGTGATGATGATGGTGGTGGTGATGATGGTGGTGATGATGATGGTGATGATAGTGGTTCTGGTGGTAAATTTCTGGTGATGATGATTATAGTGGAGATGATGGTAGTGTTATTAATTATAGAGGAAAATAATCTGGCATATTAGCTGATTAATCTGTCAGTGACAATAATGTAAGGTGCATTGAAAAGTTGTTCTCTTTCAACAATAACAATTATCTTGTCTTCGTTCTATAGGCGGAAAAATAATTGGCAGTTTGTGTGCATTCACTGGGATCCTGGCGATAGCTCTTCCTGTGCCCGTGATTGTCGCAAATTTTGAACATTTTTACAGCAGCGAACATGATGAACTCAGTGATATTTTCTGGAACTAGCCAATATCATTGTAAATTTCTATATTTTATATTAATACCATAGTTGCTTTCATTTTTTTTTAAATTAAAATCTTTGGTACTTGAACTATCAAAGTTTCTGTGATCACAGTTGGATCAAATCTAAGTTTTGAAAGATTTGTAAGAAATGTTTGAGGAACTGACTGATTGTTTAATCAGTTACTGACTCAGTTCCCTCAAGCACTTCTAATAAATCCTTCAAAACGTAGAATTTACCCATGCAAAATTCCTACTGTGATCACAGAAACTTTGATAGTGTATAAAATAATAAAAGTGTAAACAAGCCTTTAAATCAAGTTATCAAGAATAATTGTAATAAATTGTAATGGATATAAACAGCCATAGCCATTTTGTTATCAAATATGTGGAGACTAAATTGGGAATATGTTCAAAATTCTTCGAAGATTATACAACACAGTATTGGTCAAGAAGAACGGTCGATATTTATACAACGTTGATCTTTCATTTATGTCGCTTGCAAAACATAAACGTGCCCCAAAACTACACGCAATAGTGCAATACTTTCTCGAGTCGCTATTGACTAACAAAAATTTGTCAGAATATCAAGCGAAAATATATTGCAGGAAATATATTGTAGTTTTTAATCACAAGTAGTTTACATACGGAAGCTTTTTGTTAGAACACTACCTACACTGAACTCCTACGCGTTTTGCGCGAATATTTTACACCGCGTGGCGTAGTTTAGAACGAAAATATATTACTTAAATAACAATTGAATATTTCCCTTACCTTTGTCCGAAGAAAGGAAGGACTTTTGAACTGTAATTTCGCCAAAAATTAATACTTTCCAACAATGTTTCTTTCAAAAGAGTTTCACGTGGGAAAAACAAATTTTTGAAATTTGTCGCAATTTGGGGATTTAAACCACGTGATACGAAGAGTGCCGAGGACGTCCGACGAGTATTTCCGATAAGTAAAGAGAATACTAATATCACTTCTGAGTGATCCAGTTTTACATATAAAACATAAACAAAAACATAGAATGGTTGATTTTTAAAAGTGAAACTTGGAAGATTTTTGGTTTAAAAGTATAAATGGGGAACTGTTTTGACTGCTTTGGTTCTACAACTCCTGAAACACCAGATCCTGTAAGATTCTGATTATTTTTTGCTCAGTTCCTAGGCTAATTAGCCTTTTATAGTATTGGGCATTTTGGAATTTGGCTGACAGAAATGGCAAATATTATTAAATAGCCAGACTAAATATTTAATGACATTCATTTCCTGCATAAAAGTTGGTTTACTCTATATTATCCATATAAGTTTACCTAGTAGAAATCAGGCCGATTGTCACACACATTTATCAAAATATATTTTGATCAAAGTATTAATAAACTTTGGTAGTAGAATTAAACGATCAACTCATTTTTGCATACAACCAGGAAGAGAGACGAAGAAGACAAGAGGCTGCTGCTCTTAAAAGGCAAAAAGAGGTCAGTTATTTTCAGTAAAAATGATTCAGTACTGTTTGGGCACGCAGTGGTAAACTGGTCCTGCAAGTACTTCAACGGTATCAGTCTTTACCCAGTCATTTTGTACCTGCCCATTCCATTCCGAAATAATGTTCCCGAAGTTCCCAATCATGGTGATCGGCAGTCATGACTTTCCCTGCTTTTCCACTTATCATAAACAATTCCTTGCAAAATCATCGGATCGGTGATTGGCTGTTATTCCATCGCTGCAATACAACCTTTCAATACTAACAACACAAATACTTCTTTGGCCTGTGCTCCTTGCTTTCATCAATCGAGACGAAAGGCTACTCGTTCACAATTCACGAGAATAAGGCCAAGGAGGGATTTGTGATGCAATTATAGAAAGGGTGCATTGCATTTCTGTTTCATTGATCACTCATTTTCTTTGTATTTCCTCCAGAATGAAGGAAGAGGTTTAAAGGATCCAGAAGGAGTGAAGAGGAAGAAACGAAAACAAGAAGAAGCAGAACGGAAAGCTTTCAATGACGGACAGGGTGGCGGGGGAGGTCTAAAGGTAATAACAAAGGGATTTCTGATGTTTCTATCCACTGCAGCCATTTTCAATTGATGCAAAATATTGTTGTTTTATTTAGTGGACTGTTGGGTAAGGAATTGACTGCATCAGACAGATGGACATGACTACATTGACTGCATAATGGCATTGCTGGATGTGTGTTCCACATAAGATGTAATTTATAGAACAAACATTATTATCTGATAATAAATATCAATGCCCGGCATAATGTCCATATAATAATAGCCATAACACTGCACATCAGCATTGTATGCAAATTATCATTTCAGACATGCGATATTCGTATATTTTATCACTTGTTTTCTTTAATTATTTTATATTTAACCTGTTGAGTGGCAGCACTCTCCCATGGACAAGTAAAATCATCTGGCATTAGACAGAGTAAAATAATAAAGCAGGGCACATCAAGGTGCTTTGCCACTTAAAGGATTAAATATGAAAAACATGCCCAACCACTAAGAGTGATATCACATGATCCGAACTGGCAATTTGCATCTGAAGCTAAGAAGCTATTAGCCGCTGGTTGCATTGTAATATTCTAACTGTACCAAGACCGGAATTCACACTGTAAATATTAATTATTGTTAATGATGCACATATATATTCAAATGTATTACAAAGTCTGATAAATCATTAGTCTATTGCTAAAATCCCTAGATTGTTTGCAAAAACAAACGATAGCTATGACATGCTTAGGCACAATTCTATAGAGTTGGGCAACAGAAAATATTGCAAGCCAGAGTGTCTAAATTGCAGGGTGCATATACGTGGGGTGTCTTGTCTAAAATTTTGTCTAAAACAATGTGAACATACATAGCCAAACACAATCTCAATTATACCATAACTTGTAAACTACAGTTTAGATCGTCCATTGCATAGTGTACATAATTCTTGAACCAATACCGGTTTCAACACACAACACTACAAGTTGTCAAAAGTAAGTATCTTATGTTAAAAAATATGTTCGAATACACTAGTCAAATATTACAATTATGTGCTATATTAGTTGTACTATCATTTCATTTGGAATAATATCAAAAGTTTATTATATTTGTGTAGTTATATATATTAGTTGGTTTTAACACATCTCAAAGTCATCAACATTGTCTTTCCATCCATTAATCCATTAGAAACACTTATCCACTTGCTATAAACCTTTCCTTCACAAAACAACACACGGTCGGTCTTGATGGGTAAAAGGATTGTCCCCCGAGGGAATTTTGTTCAGCAACGGATCACTCCCTTGCGATTGCTGACAGAAACGAACAAGGCTATAAATGCAGAAAGAAAATATTGTAAACTTTACTTGTACTAGATAGCACCTCTATCAGTTCCAAACTGTTGTCCCAAGAGGTCCAGTAAGGGCCAAAGGGATTGGCTACAGTGTCGCTGTTAATGTGTTATTATAAGTAATACACCAGTAAGAATTTTGGGGGTGAAAGTATTTCATTTATCTGCCATTTCAAATTCTGAATAAGGTAATAAAAGTCAAATATGGAAGGCATATAATATTGTCACTCCAAAAATTTATCAGACTTTACAATGTGCAGAACTATGCACGAAATTACAAAAAGAAATGCATTTCGAAGAATACCTAAGGCATCTTTCGTCTTGCTTGAAATATATATATTAAAATGAGGTCAAATATAATCTTTGCAAACACGTTTCTTGTGTTAAAACGTTAAAAGGAATTTCGTGCGAAAGGTCGAGTGTTTTTAATCCTTTACCCGGTAGTTGAGACGCAAAACGACTCGGGAATTTCCATGCGAAGCTTGTCAAGATAATTTCTGCTTGCTTTGTTACTGTTAATTAATAATTAAGTGTGATACGGTTCGCAGCGGATTGTAGGGTATATTAACTGTTGTACTTTAGAGCTTTAGAGCTAGTACTTTTTAAACGCTTTTACTAAATACAAGTTCCACTTCTTTTCAATAACTCTAGGTATAATTAAAGCTCAAGAACGCTTGTAAATTCGCCGGGCTATGCCGAAGAATATCAGTCTGTTATTTTATAAGCTTCCAAACCTCAAATTTGTGACATTTTACTATAATTTGTAACAGTAGCAACGCTGGCTACTATATTTCACGTTTCAGAAGTATTTTAATATTTTTCTGGTAGTTCGGACATAAACCACGGTAGCTTTATAGCCTAGAATACTACCTACACGACAGTCTAAACAGAAATATAAACACAGAACCCATAACACGATATTCCCGAAGATCTGTTTTCAAATTTTAATACTCACTCCTCAACGCTTTTCGAAACTTTCATTCGTTCTATTCGGACTTCTCTCCTGAGCTGTTCAAGATCCTTTCTGAGCGTCTCGTAATCGTTTTGTTTCGTTTGGAACATATTTTTTCCTTTCTTGACCTCGAGACAACAAAGCAAACTCTCAAAGGGTCGGGCACTTGTCAAGGTATGGCGCAACTCGAAACTTTATGCGGTCAGTAATGTAAACAAAACACCATATTGTATCCCAGAGGTCGTTGCGCCACCATTTATGGACCGTCGAATGCGTCTACCCGTGGACAACCACCATATTGTATCCCGAGGTTCATTTCGCCGCTATTCAAGGACAATGGCGGTCAACCTCGTACCCAGGCTATTTTCTCTTATACTCGGTTTTAAGACCCTTGGTACGATGATGAATGGCGGCATGGCAGTTAGCCATGTATCTCTCTGTAGCTCAGTTGGTTAGAGCACTGCACCGAAATCGCAAGGCTGCAGGTTCGATTCCTGTCAGAGGGCATAAATGTATAAAAATTCCACCTGAAATTTACATTGAGTACAAATCCCTACTTTCTTATTTACTCTGTCTAATGCCAGACAATTTTATTTGTCAAGTGATAAAATATGTCAGTTTGCACAAAGTTTAAAAAAAAATTAAAAAGTAAAACAAAAAGTAATTTACTTCGATTCAGTTTTTTTCACCATTTTCTACTATTACAGTTAATACTAAAGATTAAACCCTAAAGATACTAAAGAAATACTTGAGATTATTTTTACAATAAACATCATCTTAATTAGTTTGTTTTTATACCGTATAATAATCTAGTAGTATATTAAATTACATTAGTAATTATCACACCTGATGTGCAAAAATAACGGTTTCTGAAAATAATATATATATACAAGGATTAAAGTAACAAATTACAAACCATGATAAAAGTGTTACTTTAAACCTTAATATTTATAATTAACTTAGTCCACCCTAACAAAGCATATATCCTTAAAATTAAAAATAAATTTCTAATTAATATAATATATAGTCTTGGATAATACATTAAATCTACAATGAAGTGAGATAGCCATATGTCTGTATATCTTGATATGATAGTAAAACTCATTACTCTCATTTTTCATGAATTGTATAGTTTTGTTTCTCGTAGTGTAGTGGGTGTACAATAAATTATAACAGCACACAAGGTCGGCTGCGATCTCTGAATGGATTTTCGTTCATCGGTATTTTCATCAGGAGTGGGTCGTTGCCAATGTGGGCGTCACAGTATTGGATGATGCTATATGTAGGGAAATGACAGAAAGTTGAAACTAACTTTATTTCTACTGGATAGCTCTATCTGTTCTAAACTGTTCTTCCTAGAGGTTCAGTAAGGATCATCTCTTATTGATCCAGTGTTACTACAGGAGAAAACCTAAACAAAACTAACTTTATTTCTACTGGATAGTTTTATCAGTTCAAAACTGTTCTCCCTAGAGGTCTTATAAGGGAATCCCTTATTGATCCAGTGATAAGTTGCACTGTGCCCTTATGCACACTAATCTGCCTGACACCAGACAATTTCACTTGTCAAGGGGAGAACACTGGTGCTCATAGATCATCTGCCATGTGTCTAGTTAACCCATTAAGTTGTATTGCACCTCAATGTGCCCTACTTTATTATCGTACTCTGTCTAACACCAGACAATTTTGCTCGTCAAGGGGAGAGTCCTGCATTTAATGAGTTAATCAATACAGTTCTAAGGAAACCATCTCAATATCAATGTCTGTGGTTTATATTGCCTTAGTGGATGTAATTGTCTTATCAAGCAATAAGCAGCAAGATTCAAAGATGCAATTTACTGCCCTGTTAGTATTTCATAGTCACAACTATAACCAAGCAAAAAAGACCCACCATTATTTTCTTAACAGGGATTAACACGTATTTACATGTCTAAATGCATTACCAATCAAATTATTTACAAATATAATGATTTCACACTTCTCTGTAAACAGGAAGTTACACAACTTTTGGGAAAGGCAAGGAACTTGCATTGCCCCTCGAGATTGGAAAAATAAATTTTATTACATTCCATTTCCAATCATGGGACATTATATAAGTTCAGTCAGCTTTTCATCAAAAGAGTTGTCAAGTCTTACAGCATTCTGCGATCAAACACGCACATATCCACTTTCAATCTTATATATGTCAAAAGTCTGTTTAGTTTAATAGTTAACCCTTTTCCAAACATCAAATTCAAAGGCACTATGCGTTTATTCTGCTTTATAAAGCCCTCAGAATTCCCATGCAAACACAAAAAAACACTTCCGTATCTTATAAGAACTTGCGAATTTTAAATTTGATAGTAAAAGTACACAGCCGTGAGGCCGCCACTTTATTAATGAATTGCACTTTATCACAAAAAATGTGGATTAACACTCCAATTCGAAAATGAATTTCGTTTGGAATGAATAGAAAATTCCAATTTTCCAAAAGGTTTAATTAGAATCATTGGAAAAGCGGTTAAAATTTTCCCCAACATGCCGTGTGAATCGAGCAGTGATCGAATGTTATTGCATATTTCAAAATTCATAAATACCGATTTAATAGTTTAAGCAGTTTAAAACTGCATTTAAAAACGCCGTTCACTTAGTAACTACCCATAATAAGCCAAACATAATTTTCGAATACTCAACAGTTATTTAGAGCACTTTTGGAGTGTATAAAGTAGGCAAAATTAGCCAAGATTTTAAGTTGCAAATTAATGAATGAATGAAGTTCGATCAAGCGAAATTTATGAATCAAGTGTATTACTCACTCGTTGGAAACTTGCGAGACTTTCATACGGCGATTTTTAACTTCCCTTCGTAGTTGTGCGATTTCTTGGTGTAGTTCGGGCACATCAGATTGCCTGTGGTGGAACATTTTGTCGTTTTACTTTGTGTTATTCTCTTGGTATAATCAGTTCTGCTTTACAATAAAATTTCTGTCACGATATGAAATATAGGTGAAAATCATCACGACCGAGCGATGACAGGGTCTGGGTCGAGCTAGAAACGCCCAGCGAATTTTGACACTGAGCTGAAGCAGGCAACTGGATAGTGCAATCCATTGTTCACTGATCTATATGATATACACTGGATAGTGGATAACGCAAACCATTGAACGTTAAAGGGGAAGTCAAGTCCGTTCTGCGCATCGGTTCTGCGCATAACAATAGAGGGCCCTCTGAGGTAAACATTGCCCAAATTTTGAATGTTTCGAATGTTTCTGAACACAAACTCTATTTCATATTCATGTAGAAGCATAACGAACCAAAATGGTGTTAGATATTCAGACAGTACATCATATTTTAAAAAATACAGCAGTTCAAAATGTAAACAAACCGTTTGTTTACATTACGGACTTGACTTCCCCTTTAAGGCATCCTCGTTCCCAGGGCTTCTCGCCGAGAAGCCCTGGGGACGAGGATGACGTTAAGGTCGTTAAGCAGTTTTAAAAGATGTTCAAACATCATTAATAATTCATAAGCTTATTGGCAAATCATAGTATTCTTTATATAAAGAGTACCAATATATCTATTGAATTTGTAGTCGTGTTTGAAGCCGTTTAATAAACGAGCAGGTAGTGTTCTATTAGGTCTGAAGCCACTCGCGCAAACCTAATAAAACTGTCCTGCTCGTTTATTAAACAGTACTTCAACGTTTAATGTTAATAATGCTCAAAAATAAAGTTGAGAAGCATAACATTAATGAAGTACATAAATTGCAAATTATAATATATACTACTCTTAACATGCGCACGCAGTATAATCACGCAAGTAGCTTAACGAACTAAGGCGAACTCGCCGACAGGAATTTTTAACCGAGAAAACATCGGTATTATTAGTATTATTATTATTATTAATATTATTATTAATAATCATCATCATAAATCATCTCCTAATGAATCAATAATCCACCTCTGGAAGTCAACAACTAATCATACTAATATTCAATACGACCAATACAGTTCGACGAAGGAAGTGATTAAGTCATTTCGTGATGATCAAGAAGATAAATTAACAAACCAACTAACATACCAAGGCTCATTCTTTACCAGTGTATCAAGATTTTCCCTAACCCAAGTAAATACGATCTGGCCAGTCTGTCAGTCCAAATTGCATAAAAACATTTTCAACTTTACCATTCGCTATATAAACAATTCGCTGCCAACCCGTAAGAACCTTCAAAGATGGGGGCTATCCTCGTCTTCTAAATGCTCGTTCTGCATTAATCCTGAATCTCTATTGCACGTCGTCGCTGGTTGCAGTTCCTACCTCGATCGGTTTACTTGGAGACATGACTCAATTCTAAATTTCATTGCTAATAACCTTCCATCAGAACATATCCGGACCATTTATGCTGATTTGTCGTCATTCTCTAATCATTCTACAATCACTGGTGATGATTATCGGCCTGATTTACTAATTTTGACGAAAGACAATTGTCTGTATATTCTGGAATTAACCGTTGGATATGAGACTAACCTCACTAACCTCAGAAATAATGTTAACAGGAAATACTCCAAGTATAAAGATATGATGATTATGGAACAAAAGAAAAATTATCATGCGGTAAACTTCATCAACCTTTCGATTAGTGCACTTGGTGTGTTCGACAAGGAATCTTCTGGTTTTATAGACATGTTAGAACATTTTAATTTAGATAAAGCTCATGTAAGATACGTTATTAAAAAGATTACTACTACAGTTTTTATTGTCGAAATAAGAACTGGGTGAATCCGGACTTGATGAAACTTTAAAATTTTTATTGTATATAAGTATGTATATAGAGTAATAGAGTAAATTTAATCGTGCGTTATAAAATAATTTAATAGTAATATATCAAGGCCCCGTTTACACTATACCGGATTGCTATCGGAGTAGGTCAAATTTTGTAGGTATCGAAAGGCTGTGAAGATTTTTAATCTCAGAGACCCAAATAAACATGCCAATTCTGTCAAACTAATAAGCATTTGCTACTAACCATTGCTCCGTAACGGCAAAAGAAGATGTCGTGACCAGCGGATCCGGTATACTGGTAAACAGGGCCCAAGTTGCCAATTGTAAATTACCTTATATAGTGAGATTTGCAGTTGTAAGTTTAAAAAATTAAATAAAGTTTCCAATATTATTGATACTAATTATTTATTATGATATTAATTTCGAAATTATGAAATATCTCACTCGAGAACTCGAGAACGGATTTTTTTAATGAAGATATGTTGGTTCAGCAAAATAGTTAACTTCGTGAACCACCAAACCAGATCTGTCCAGTTGAGTCAGCAGTCGCTGCACAGCGGTGATTACCAGTACAGCATAGACTACTCCTTGGATGAAGCCCTCCAAAGTAATACTCATCACCCGATGAGCAGTCATTCTTGAATTCGTCCAAGTTTAAATCACAACCGTATACCTCTTCAAGGGATCGCGTCAAATGGAGAATAAGTCCCTTTTGATTCAAAGCTAGAAAATATCGTGTAAATGACGAATTACTGTCGATATTCCTTACAGACCATCTACGACGCGGCAAAGTCGACGACGCTGTCTCAATTTTATAGCTCAAGGATAAGCACTAAGGAATTTGAGCGCCACAGCTATGATAGATACTTGAAGCCTTTTAAAATTACCATACATCTGCTAAGTTCGCGGGAAAAGCGATCCGTACATGTTTGTTATAAAGCTGACTTTATGCCGTAATACCTCTCCGCCTTGACGTCGCAAATAAGACATGAAAATGCTTAGTTTAACGTGTTGTTGAGAATGACGAGGATATTGCTAGGATCACTAACTGTTTATACTTTTTGCCTTGCATGAAAAACATCTTTTTTCGAAGATGCGCCGCTAAGTTTTAGTTTGCCGCATCGTATATGTCTCTAACTTTCTATATTGCTTTAATACTTTAGACACTTTTGTAATGTGAACACATCTCCTCAGATACAGAGACTCTTCTAATGGACCTATTCCCTAATGAACAAAATTTTGATCTAGACAAGTCTAGACAAAAATTTCATCACAGCTTGAAAGAGCATCACAAAATTAGTAATATTAATTTCCGAACTTTCGTTTCGAAATGTTGTAAAATGCGGATAATATAGTCCTGCGAAGTTTGCCGTTTTTCAGTCATTTTGTATTACGCACGGGAAATTGATACCGCTTTCCGAAAAAAGGTATCAATTTCCCGTGCGTAATACAAAATGACTGAAAAACGGCAAACTTCGCAGGGCTATATTATCCGCATTTTACAACATTTCGCAACGAAACTTCGAAATATTACTAATTTTATGATGCTCTTTCAAGCTGTGATGAAATTTTTGTCTAGACTTGTCTAGATTAAAATTTTGTTCATTAGGGAATAGGTCCATTTGGATAAATCTCTAATACAAACACCTCTCTAACGCAGACACTTCTCTAATACAAACAACTCTCTAATAGAGACGCCTCCCTAATACAGACACCTCTCTAATACAGACACTTCTCTAATACAAACAACTCTCTAATAGAGACGCTTCCCTAATACAGACACCTCTCTAATACAGATAACACTCGGTGCGCAGTCGTGGCACTTCGGTGCCGTAGTCATCAGAGCAAATGCCTTTCATCCCAGAGATCGTGTGTTCGATTCTAGCTACGGACTCATGTGAAAAGAGTCTGTCAACGCTCTGCCGAAAGTCGTGGGGTTTCTCCGGGCACTTCGGTTTCCTCTCACAGGGAAAGTTGACAGGATGGGTTAGGATAAATATAGTTAGGAAAGTAGTACCACAATTGTAGTAAAAATAAGCCTAAGCTTAGCCGAAGTAATACAAGTAGGGGTAATACTTGATGTAATCGGTCACTAAAAAGCCCCGATGGGAAGTGAGCTGAATAATCATAATCACTCTCTAATGCAGACACCTCTCTAATACAGACAACTCTCTAATATAGACACCTCTCTAATACAGATACCTCTCTAATACAGACAACTCTCTAATGCAGACACCTCTAGCTATAATACAGACAACTCTTTAATACAGACACCTCTCTAATACAGACAACTCTCTAATGCAGACATCTCCCCAATACGGACACCTCTCTAATACAGACACCTCTCCAATACAGACACCTTTATAGTACAGACACGTCTCTAATCTAATTAAAACCTCTTTAATACAGACACCTCTCTAATACATACAACTCTGCAATAGGGACCCCTCTCTAATACGCACACTGTCCTCCCACTTGTCTTATACGACATGACCGTTAATGTGCTGTATACATTACTTTACATACCCATAGTGCAATGACTACACGATTTTCCACGTATATTCACATATTCCACAAGGCGACATCTGTCCGATTGTCTGAATAGCGTCGAATCATAATTCATCAAATCTGTTTCAGCTATTTTTCCACGTGCGTAGTCCACGTAATCCACGCCACGCGTGTTGTACTCGCAGGTCAGTCTCCAGTGGGTGGATAATGCGCTAACGTGCCCCATGGCAGATCTGTTTAAGAAGGGAATCTTTTGTATGTTACGTAAAACGCGCTCAAAATGCTCATGATTATATTCAAATTTTTAAATTTTTAATACGTTTCTCAAGCGGCGAACAAACTTAAAAAGTATGTTTAGTGCTCTATCTATAAAATTATGCTTTGATGAAGAGATTTTAGATGGTATATCAAAGAGAAAACAATGTCTGAAGTTCAGTAAGTTTTGCTTATATTGCTGTATAAATATGGCGTCAATTTTACAGCATCAATAACAATTGCCTCTTAATAATAAATTAGCATTGAGTGATACCATATTGATACACATTAGCAATTTGTATACGGCGGGGCTAATGTGCCCCCCCCCCCTCCCCCCAATGTGGTATTATTTCGTGCACTTAAGGACAGATCCGGCTGAGCAAAGATAGAGCAAAGGAGTATAGACTTGGTCACTGACATAATTTATTGAGGAGTCTGTTACCAGTTGCAAATGCATCTAAGAATGATTGTGTGTTTATTACAATATTAAAAAGTAAACTGGCATCCTGGTATTTTTAGCTATCCCAGGTTATTTCAGGATTGCCAGGACCCTATAATAAAATTGTAAAATTGTAAAATGTTTATTTATTTAATGTCTTTTAATGTTGTAAAAATGGGTCAATAAAGTTTTTGTCTTGTCTTGTCTTGTCTCTGACGACAAGCGAATGCAAAGACTGAAACTGAAGGTGAAGTACGTGTACGAAACAACTATACGACCAGTATTGTTATTGCAGGAGTGCGACATTGAGCAGAAAGGAACTACAGAGATGCAAGAAAAGAAACGATCATATCAGAAATGAGTTGAAGCATGTATCCTCACAGGAAAGCTTGGGGAAAGTAGGCTAAGATGTTTTGAGCATCTACATGCAGAGCGGATGATGGAACGGCTGGTCAAAGACAACAAGTCCAAAATGGTAATTGGTAGGAAAGATGGACAGAAAACATCAAGACGGGACGAAATTTGACAGAAGATATTACAAGCAGGATTTGGTCGACCGACCCTGGATTAACTGGATAAAGGTCTAAGGCAAACAAGAATTTATTTTTTAAAAACATAACAAAGCCACACCTCGCTAAGGAGTATTCGTTCCAAATGACACCGTTTTCCGGACTGGCTAAATTTCTAGCAGGAAAATCTTGAAGAAGTGGTGGCAACACAGTTACCCGACTACGAGACAACACTAATGTCCAAGCGAGGCCTTCTTCCGAATGGAAATCGCAAAACGCTTTGTATAGCACTCCAGTTTGATCGTATAAGTCATATGCTCCGTTAGCTGGTTTAGGATCATTCCAGTAATCTTGGCAAGTCATCGGCTTGTTCTGGCAGCGGTCGCCATAGTAACCGCTGCTGCAATGACATTCAAAGCGTTTTCCGGAGTCAGGACAAAATCCAACGCATTCGCCATCGTTTAAACATGGATTGCTATAGCGACAGCAATATTCGTTCTTAGCTGGAGTTCCACAAGGCACCGTAGTTGGACCTTCGGACTAAAAAATAAGATATGTAGATTTAATGACACGCTTGCAGTCCGCTTGACTTTTGGAGACAGTGACTGGCTCAAGTCTTGCTAAAGGCAAAAAACTAAACGAATCAACTTTATTTGTACTGGATAGCTCAGTCCTAAACTGTTCTATATCTTATTGATCCAGTGTTACTACAGGAGGAAACCTAAACGAACTTTATTTGTACTGGATATAGCTCTATCAGTTCTAAACTGTTCGCGCTAGAGGCCCACTAACAATAATTAACCCTTATTGATGTATTATTCTTACAACAGAAAGAGAACTAAACTATTAAACTTTACTTACGCTGGTTAGCTCTATCAGTTCCAAAATGTTCGAATCTGTCGTTAATAAGGTACACTACTCGACATCGATTCAGTTTGAGTCTTCCAAACACGCAAGATTCTTCCTAGTATACTCCAGTTTCCTCCTGTAGTAACACTGGATGAAGAATAGATGATCCTTACTGGATCTCAGGGAAAACAGTTTAGAACTGATAAAGCTATCCAGCATCAATAAGGTTAGCATCACCTTACCTGTTGGGAAGGCAACTCTCTTTCCATATCATAATATGTGCACCCTGTGTCGTCCACATAATCAGTTGTGGATTCCTCCTTCGTAGATTGGCTCAGCTCACACCGTTTTCCTGAAGCACATATGCTAAAAGACTCGCATAGACAATGCTCACTGCATTTTGTAAGGCACTGAAAAGGATGCGCTATCGTAACATTCAAAATTCCGTGATTTAACAACCGTTTTTTGGCATGTATATTTTTCTTGATATCTATTCTGTAGTTCCCGCACGTTCCGTCGCCCATCAAGTGCAAAAATTGACCAAAAATCGCCAGGACTGCTAAAATAAAGACTCTAGACTCCATTTGCACAGAAATAGCAACTTATACAAGTTTAGACGTTAATGCTTTAATTCGAGCTTTGTTTTCCAACAGTTTACCGGTAAAGTTGGGTTTGAACGCAGATTTTTATATTTTGTTGAAAACTTTAAACCGCATGTATACACGAAAACGGTTTTCAATTGGCGATCCCGTCTGGGCACCTGTGTTGGGTCTGGAAATGTAAGCATATACAGGCTTTGCCTTTAAAAACACGATTTTATTTGCTAGGTAACTCATGTTTTGTTGTTAAATGTTGTTATGTAACCTTGCAATTTCGTGTCGGGCTCGTCAGGCAAAATTTGCAAATAGATTAGTAAAATTTTCGAATAAATTTATATACAATGCTTTCATGTTTATTTTAATGTTTTCAATGAGCTATTTAGCCCCGAACATTCACAATTCATTTTACAATTGCGGTTGATACTACCAAAGTTTCTTTGAACAAAGTATGTTTTGATGGAGTGTAAATTTCTTTGGTGAAAACTGAAAATGAAGACTTCGTGAAGACACATATCTCGTTCAAGAGTCTTTTCCTCCAAGTGAGATAACACGGAATTATATACTTCACTCCATGCACAGATCTCAGAAACTTTGGTAGTCCAAACCGGACTTTCTATTCAATTTATTTACAGATGTCATTATTTCATTTTTCATCGTCTCTTTTGTCGATATAAAAATATACAATTGAAATTTGTTCGCACGGAATTTTCAGCCACTCTCTCGTTGCAATGTGGTTCATTCCTCTCAAACCTGTCACACTCTCAATGTGGTATGCACACCTGTACTGCCTTTCATTCTGCATCAATTCTTCTGACCAACTTCACTGATCTCGCTTTTCAGCTAGCTTGCTGCTTCCTTCTGAAAAAAATTGAAAAGCATTTTAATATCACTCTGCCACGCTGGTTACACCGTGCGCCTTTTGCCTCAATGACTGGGCTTCGATTACTATAAGTGCTTCCTACTGTAACATTTCAAGAAGCGGTCTCAACTGCAGCTAACAATTGACGGAGCTGTCTGGTATAGACATGCAGAGAGAGCTTAGTTTAGGTTTCCTCTTTGCTGGACCTCTAGGAAGAACAGTATAGAACTGATAGAGCTATCCAGTATCAATAAAGTTGTTTAGTTTCTAGTAACACTGGATCGCTAAGAGATGATCCTTATTGAACCTCTAGGAAGAACAATTTAGAATTGATAGAGCTATCCAGTACAAATAAAGTTAATTTAGTTTAGGTTTCTTCCTGTAGTAACACTGGATCAATAAGAGATGATCTTTATACTGGACCTCTAGGAAGAACAGTATATAACTGATAGAGCTATCCAGTATTAATAAAGTTAGTTTAGTTAAGGTTTCCTCCTGTAGTAACACTGGATCAATAAGAGATGATCCTTACTGGACCTCCACGAAGAACAGTTTAGAGCATAGTAACACTGGATCAATAAGAGATGATCTTTATACTGGACCTCTAGGAAGAACAGTATCAGTTATAGAGCTATCCAGTATCAATAAAGTTAGTTTAGTTTAGGTTTCCTCCTGTAATGACACTGGATCAATAAGAGATGATCCTTAATGGACCTCTAGGAAGAACAGTTTAGAACTATCTAGTAGTCTTCAGTTTAGACTCTTAATTTAAAAACGCAAGCACTTCACATACCTTAGACGTAGTCTGTGTTGAAATCGTGGACGTTGGTCGGCAGACCTTCGAGGCGACGATTGCTTGAAGTTTCTGTAGCTGACTTATGAGTGTTCTACACAAATAAAAATTAACAAAATTATATTTCACCTTCTTGGAAGCATATAAAGTTAGAGAAGATCTTATGCTTGGAGTTACTTTATTTTTCATTACCTGTTAGCAATTTCCATCGAATCCAACTTTTTTCTTAAGTCTAAATTTTCGTTGGAGCACAGCTCGACCCTGAACAGAATGCAGTATTAGCACAGAGTATTTACATACAGAGGTCTCACTTCTGCGGGAAAACCGTAAGGTAGTTTTTACCAAAATAGCTGGCGCCCATGTTCTTAGCAGGTGCCCTAAAGAGAGGCATTCACTCCCCCTGGAACATTAAATTCCAATATGTTTTCAGGGGGGAGACGGCCTCTCTTTTGGACACTTGCTAACGGACTGGAAAAAAACATGGCGGACTGAAAAAATCCCTTACGCTAAATTAACCTGAAGTGAGACCTCTGTCTGTAAGTACTCTGTGGTATTAGTCTCGTATATAAAATGTACAAACTAAAACTAAAGCACCATTGATAGGTTGAGAAACAAACAAGAAAATCCTGAATAAATGACTTGCCTTTTTTCTAATGTTTCCATATATTCTTTTTTCTTACGACGGCTTTCTTGAGCTGATATCTGAAAATTAAATAGTTGATGGAAAATTAGCCAACTAAGAGAATTTGTAAAAGAACTGACAAATGGTAAGTGAAGGAGTGAAGAAGATTATGGAAAATTAGTTAAGAGAGTATGGAAGGAATGCATGACAGAAACAGTTGATGTTACCTTATTTTTTATTTTCCTTCTAACTTTCTTCAGAGCTCTTTCTTCGGACTGAATAAAATTGCAAAATATATAAGTAAACTAATCCCATGTGCATAAGGTAATGGTGGATACCTCATCAAGTATCCCTGCAGGTCAACTGATGAATCAGTCAATTGAATGGTCAGGGAGTGTCAGTGTCTTGGTTGAGAAATTATGGATCAACTTACCTTGGTAAGAGGATAGCCTGCAGGTATAGGCAAGCCTTCAGTTACTAGGGTTCGCTTCTCTTCATCCGAGAGAAAGAATGGCTGTCTGTTTTGAGTCTAAAACAAACACATTCAGGTTTAAGATTGTACTGGAGCTACAATGGTCGACCCTTACAGGACCTCTAGGGGGAACAGTCTAGAACTGATAGAGCTATCCAGTATGAATAAAGTTGGTTTAGTTTAGGTTTCCTCCTGTACTAACACGTACTGGATCAATAAGAGTCAAGAGATGATCCTTACTGGACCTCTCGGGAGAACAGTTTAGAACTGATAGAGCTATCTAGTAAAACTAAAGTTAGCTTATTTTAGGTTTCCTCTGTAGTAACACTGGATCAATCCTTACTGGACCTCTCGGGAGAACAGTCTAGAACTGATAGAGCTATCCAGTATAAATAAAGTTAGTTTAGTTTTCCTCCTATAGTAACACTGGATCAATAAGAGATACTTCTAACTGGAAGACCAGTTTCCAATTGATAGAGTTATCCCGAGTATAAATAAAGTTAGTTTATAGTCTCACCTGATCCAGAGGAGAGGTCACATCCCCGGTACTGGAACAAGATCCATCAGTATCCACTTGTGTCAACATTAAACACCTGGGAGGCGTGCTCGGAGTCTCTGACGTGGGAGAGTGGGCACCAGAGTCGTAACCTAATGAAGGGAAAATAGGTACGTAAGCGTACATGTATTTGTGGATCACTCAACCTCTAGGAAAAGAACAGTTTAGAATGAATAATAAAAGATATTCAGTACAAATAAAGTTAGTTTAGTTAAGAGTTTAGTAAAGTCTAGTTTAGTTTAAGTTTTATAATATCAAACAATTAAAGCGTTAAGTTTTATTTTATTTTAAGAATTTTAAGTTTTAAACCTTTTTCACACGATTTTATGGGCACGATATTTTCATAATTTACAGATAGTTCTTCAGATTGCGGGACTTCTCGTTCATCTAGCCAAAATAAGTTTTAATACACATCCTTAATTTATTTTATTTTATGTTGTATTATAACTTTGCATACTATTATAATTACTGACTACAAGTTTTGGCATAGGATTTCGGTGGGGCGATGGTTAGAGCAAGCGCCTTATGTGAGAAACGTCTATCGAAAATCGTTGGTTTTCTCCATAGATATCTTATATATACACTAGATAGCGCATCTCTTTTAGTAAAATTGAAGCCAAGAATATTCCAGCGGTTACCCCCATTTGAATAGATGGCGGCCATGTTGGAGTTTACCACTCGCTAATAAACGCTTAAAAAACAACAATAACTTTCATCATCTGAATAGTTTTTTGAAAATGTATTTGGAATAGGTTTAACTTAATGTTTAAGTTCCCTGTTTAAGAAATAGAAAACATATACGAGTCTTCTCATTTCATGGGAATATCCTGAGTCTGCAATCACGGCTTCAATTTTTGAATTTCAGAATAATTAGATGCACTATCTAGTGTATATAAGATATCTATGGTTTTCTCTGGTTACTCTTATTTCCTCAGGAAAGTTGACAAGGTGGGGGTGGGATTAGCCCCTAATTGGCCCTTCCACCGTGGCTGTACTCCGTGATTAAACATAGGTGCCCTTAGAAAGCCTTCAGCTCAATTAGCTCTCAGCTGCGAATAAGGATAATAACACACCCCAATTAATTTAGTTATGTAGAAGTTAAATACAGGTAGTTTAAAATTTTTATGAGTTATAATTTGATGCATTTAATTTTTATTTAAAACTATCTTATGTTAAATTAGACTTCCCCACTTTTTAAAAATAAGTCAGGATTCTTCTTTATGAAACATTTTATATAAAAGTCCAAGCCATTTTGGGTTAAAAATAGCCTCATGGTATTACCATATTAATTTAAAATACAATGCTATATATGCAAAGGTTTGAATACAAGGTCAATGAGTTGATATTGGCTTCAGCACATATGGAAGGTCAAAAGAATTAAATTAATTGGAATGCATTGGCATCCTGTTATTGAAGTGCCTGGTTGACCATGCAAATTATCATTTAGTCAATATCAGCAAAAGCAACAAACCAACCAGTAAAAGATCATATCTTTTTTTATCAGATTTACACACGTAAAAATCCCACAACTTGTCAACAAAATGTGTTCGCAACAGGCATGTAGCAAGCTCGTCAACAAGTTGTAACAATGCTGGTATTTCATCAAGTTGCAACAAGGTTGTTGAATTGTTGAATGCAGGGCAGTGACAAGTTGTTGGAACTACTTGTGACAAGTCTATTGAGTTCAGCAACCTTGTATAGCAAGTTGTCAACAAGCCGTTGACAACTTGTCAACAAACTGGGAAAACAAGCAGTGCGAACACATCCTGATGACAAGTTTTTTGGACAGCATTGCTGCAAGTCTGCTGCAGTTTGTTACAACTTGTGCGTTTTTACGTAATTACACGTGTATATAGTGCAAAGCTATGGAAATAACATGGCACAGAATAGAGACTGCACAGAAGGCCGACTTCTTGGTTTTTCCTATGATTTTGGCGTAACCGTAATTCGTCATCAAAATCTGACGCCATGGTTCTAGCCAGTGCGCTTATGAGGCATTCACCCCCCTGACAACATTCAAAATGGCGGACGTCCAGGGGGGGATGCCTCTCATAAGCGCACTGGCTAGGACCATGGTGTAAGCATTTGATGACGAATCATGGCGTGGCAGCGGTTTATCTTTTTTGGCTCAGTCGACCTATTCTGTGCTACAAGTCTGCTGCACGTTTGTTATAACTTGTGTGTTTTTACGTAATCACGCGTGCATAAAGCGCAAAGCTGTGCAAATATAATACATGGCGTCAGCAGTCGTTTTCATACGCCAGAATGACAATCGTTGGCGACCAGTTCTACTGTTGTAGCGTGTAAACGAGTCTTAACAAACGGTAGTTTCAACATAATGAACTGTTTTTTACAGTACAATTGCGGTTGCCTACGGCTACAAGCTTGCAATTGGCAATTCCAGCTTTTAGTTTATGCGTGCAGGGGACGATGGGAAGTAAGGTATCACATTGCTGATTATGCCGAAAAAATAAATATGGTGGCCGTGTAAACACGGAATGATAGCTTATACTTGTAGATATTGAAATATTTCGGTTGTTTCGGTAGTTTTTGTTGAAATTTTTCAGCATAATCAGCAATATGATACCTTACTTCCCATCATCCCCTGCAGGCGTAAACTAAAAGCTGGAATTGCCTATTGGGAACTCTGGTATCTCGGCTTTTTGTCAAAATTTCTACCCATTCAAAGTATGCTGTTGTTAAGTAATTTCCTCATCCCCTGCCTTCAACAATATGGCGTCTAACTAACTTCAAAGGACCGCTAGCCGACTGGTCCAATATCGCTATCGTCATGACTTAAATTAAGTTTTTCAACATCTCCCGATCGTCAGCGAGCGATCTATTCTGCACAATACTAGCAGCGGGGCGCTTCTCTCGAACCGCCTAGGAGATCACGCAAAAATGTGTTGCCATGGAAATCATTCGTGAGCGATTCACCATGCAAAACGGCGTCATCACGACATCTAAAAGTTTATTAACCGCAAGCTTTGTCCAAACGATTTTGTCGTGTAATTCAGATTAACTTAATAGAAAATATAACAGGTTTTTATTGCTGGTATTGTTGGAGAGACAGGATCAATAAGAGATGATCTTTACTGGACCTCCAGGGAGGATAGTTAATTAGAACTGATAGAACTATCCAGTATAAATAAAGTTAGTTTAGTATGTTATTTATCTTTACAACAATTGGGCGAATCGTTTCGAAAGCGACTAATTGCAGAGTTTGTATGTGTCTCATTAAAAACGGGAAATAGCGCTCAAAAGTGTCAAGAAAGAGCTGTTCTGAACACTCAACTTCACTGGAGTGGTTGCAATTTATAAAGAAAATTGCCTTCCTAATTTGAAGTGGTCTGGAAATACCAATTTACCTTAAAACATGCAAATATCAAAAGTTCCGCAATGTAAGAGCTCTCTTCTTAAGATAGCTTGTTAAAATTTAACTAATTGTAAACAACTGTGAAAGGCTCTTTTGGATAAGACACAGGCAACACTTCGCACATTCTTTGTGGTAGATTTTCACTGGCCTTAATCCAAACAGTTGGTTAATTCCATCACTTCTAAATTGGCCCAGTGTTACTATAGGCTGGGTGAAAACCGCAGTATACCTGGAGAAAATCTGCGGTGTTTGGTAGACTCAAACTGGAGGCACTCTTCTCACATGTGACTGACGTGATCATCACGTCATCATCAATTATCATCAGACAACAGCATATCGCAGGAATTGAACTCCAATCTCAGTGGTTGAGAATAATTTAAAGCCCAGCAAAAATTAATTCCCAGTCATTTCCCACAGCAATATTGTTTAAAGTAATCATGTGTTTATTGCCTGATGATAGCCAGATATATATTTCTGGTTTTTCTGTTTATAACATGTCAAGAAACGCCTGTAAAATTACCAACGGCTTCAGTTATTTTCCTATAGGCGCGGTTTCATGATAATGGCAATATCCGCAGAAATCATGCCACAAAAATCAGGACTCGCCTTTAAAAATTTTCATCAGACAATTGAAAATTTAATTATGAATCATTTAGACGTGCTCAAGCTAGTGCGTGCCACACTTCAAAGTGATCGTTGCCCTTGGCGTGGACGTAAAGTGTGTCCTTGTAAGAAATCCTTATTTTAATGCCTGGCCTTAATGAAAAGATACGAGGGACAATAACGATGAAAACATGAACGCAGCTACTCAGCCTGTTTGCATACGGTGCCAGTGGGCGTTTCACGAGGAGTCGAACTTCACATTGAGCATCGTGATTTTAATTGGGTATTAGTGGGTGAAATTATTCCGAAGTACATAATACCGTCTCCGCCCACGATGGCGTCAGGCACAGCTTGATATTTTTACAAACGAAATCACGAAACGAGTTTTGTACGCATATAGTACAGGCATAACTCCAAAATGATTGCGTATAGGTAGACAAATGCCTTGTGTAGGTCTGCAATATGTGATTAACTGGGACTGAGATTGCATGATATCAGCTTGTAAAAAAGCGTGGTAAAAAACTAAAAACACTACCGATTACAAATGCAAAATCTAGACCAAAGCTGGATGAATTTAAAGTTAACGGTGATAAGTTATTGTAGAATCACAGCCCACAATAGACCGCCACGTTTGAGATATCTTTTTCGGGTAGCTCAGACACAAACCACGACAGCTTATTGAAGAATACTACCCACACCGAGACCGCCACGTTTGGGAGATCTTTTTCAGATAGTTCAGACACAAACCACAACAGCTAATTGAAGAATACTATACCTACACGCCCCCCCCCCCCCCATTTGAGATATCATTTTCAGGTAGTTCAGACACAAACCACGACAGCTTATTGCAATTTGTAGGCGGACGTTTCGCATAAATCATCTATTGAATCTATATTTATATTTGTATATATATAACTTCAACCTCAAGACTACAAACTATTCCAAACATTTCTGAGTAGGCGAAATAAACGGCACAACATATCGGAAATTGTTTCCCAATATTCGTCATTTCCCCTTTCAAGCTCCAATTATATAAGATAGTTTCTAATTCCGTTTGAAATAGGTCTTCCCCATGCTTGTCCAAATATCTCAAGCGATATATAGCTGAATTGATAGATGCCTTTGGAAATTCTTCAGAGAAAATTATAAATTTTAGGCATGCTGTTGAATATGCTCAATATATAAATAGTATTTTTTGACTACTTATAAGTTGTTAGAGCAGCGCAGCGCATGGTGTTAACTTCAAATTAAAAGATGACGATGTTATTATAAAATTTTCCTAGTTTTTACCTAACTATACATTTTGCATTCGCAATTTTTGTATTCTGCATAATTGCAGCATGTCGTCAGCCTACGCAAGCCGTATCATAGCAACGAAAATATGTTTCACAAAAAATGTTCGAAATGACTTTCTAGTGACGTCCTGTTCGAATGTATTATACGCTGATACGCGTGCGTAGAATGTATACAACGAAACAAATTAAATGGAAAAGTATGGCTTGTTTTGCCAACAGCATTTATATATATAGTATATATATAAAACATGTGCCTTACAGATAGTATTAGATAAACCGCTTTGTTTTTCGTTAAAAAATATTGAATGTTTGACTAACTGCCTTCTGAATAAATCCGCTTTAAGTTTTTTGTAAATATGTAGGCCGAACTAATTAAATTACTCCAATGATTTGTTTTTAATTAATTAGCATAAAATTCGCTGAATAACTTATAGAAGTTTAAAATTTCAGCTCAAGCATTTGGTGTTTTGTGAAAACAATCTAATATTGTGTACATAAACCCGGTTTCCAGATGGCGTAATGGTCATAAAAATAGAGTCACGATCTTTCTCAAAGGCCAGTTTATAATAGTTTATACCTGTAAACCACATATAAATCATAAGTATTCTCTAGTTATACTAATCACTCAGTTCTAAAATGTTGTATTTCGGCTGATGAGAAAGATCGTGACTCAATCTTTACGACCGTTACGACCATATGGAAACCAGTCTTAATAAAGGACAAGAACAATTGCTACCAATCTTTGTAGGCTTGATAGATTAACAGATAGGCTACAGTAGAATAGATTATTGAAGGTTGAAGGCTCAAATATCAAACCATTCTTGGTCTTGCATTATAGTGAATCAGTGATATTTGTAATGTTGCAATCAGGGCCAATCACATCCGGCTAAAACCGGCGAACACCCCACTCAAAACGTCACGCAGTTTTTGTAATATAATTCATTGGTAGTTGGTCGTAGGACGCGAATAGCAAACACGTATTGCATTGTTTAACGTAGCAAGTTTTTGAATGCTTTCTAACGGTATCCTGGTAGCCAATTCAATGGCTTTGCATGACGCAACGGCTAACAATTAATTAAACTTTCCCAAAACAAAACTTGCGCATAAGAGCGACACAGTCTAAGGGTAAGCCCTTAGAAAATACAAACAGATGCATGTTTGCGCGAGAAAATTGTCTGTGAGCATAATGGATACTTGAAACTTTGACGCAAAGAGCTTTGGGGTTAAAAGTGTATCTTGGAAACAGGTTTACACTGTCACACCTGCACTATATCGACGCAATACTTTAATGACGATGGTGTAACTCCTATAGCATATCTCATATAGTACTTTCTTTTTTCTTTCCTGATTTTAATCGAGCTGAATTGAACAAAACCTCACTATGAGTCACAAAATGCAAATCAGAATCGCGTACATATATTCCAGCCATTCTGAACACACAAATTTAACTTTCGGTACAAGCATCATACTGTACTTTCGTAGCTATAATATTTGAAAACATCAAATTCTCAACCAATATATTAGTATCGTGATTCGTGATCTAAATCCTTGAAAGCTATTTCACGAAATGTCAATTGCATGTCGCATGCATATAAAGCAATACCAGCAACGGTTTAATGAAGATCTGACTGTTTGCAACATTAAATCTTTGTTATAACGTATTGCAACATTCATAGATATGTAACAAAAATTTACCAAACTGTATCTATAAAGCGTCGTTCGAAAATCACGCAACCCTAACGATATGCAAATTTTTAACCTTTGGAACTCGTAAATGTTTACAATTATCATCGCGCTATTGTGCTATGGAATTTTCGAAGCACATTAAAAAATGATAAGCGCACAGCACCATGAATAACCTACTAGAACTTTTCTGGTGCCTGTAGTCATTTGCGTTGATTTGACGATGAAATCTTCCATTGTTAATAGATTTTCAAACCGTTGCTTGGGACAAAATTAGTTTCCAGTTGCAAGTGATAAGCCGGTTGCGAAATTGTATAAATGTTAAACTGAATTTCAGCTCGCACGCAGCGCTCGAATGAATTGAAACGCTGCGTATGTTGTCGGTGTTGCTAGGCTTCGAAATTTGTTTCGGTATTTCAAACGTGGGTGTACAGTGTGTAGGTAGTATTTCTCAATAAGCTGCCGTGGTTTGTCTGTAAACTATCTGAAAAAAAATATCTCAAATGTCGTGGTCCAGTGTAGGTAGTATTCTTTAATAAGCTGCCGTGGTTTGTCTGAACTATCTGAAAAAAAATATCTCAAATGTGGTGGTCCAGTGTAGGTAGTATTCTACAATAAGCTGCCGTGTTTTGTGTCTGAACTATACCTGAGAAAATTAAAACATTTCAGGGTCCTGAAGTGCATTTAATCGTAAATTTGTTCCCCCTTACATGTTACGAATTAAAAAATGTCAATAATTATTTTTCGCGTGTGTTGCGGTTTCCAAAGATACAAAAGCATCCTTGTTTTTGCAATAATACTAGACCTGTTATTGTTTGGAATTGTTGCGACTAAATGCTCGTTGGTTATGTTAATTAGCAATGATTTGGCATATCCGTGAGCTAAATACAGTGGCAAACGTATCAAGAAATATTTAAGGAATTCAGCACCATTTGGGCAATTTCTGGCAACTTTTGCAGTGAAAGATGGCGACTTTAACACAGTTCTTACAAGTTGCTATTTGGGCAATTGATTTGCATTTTGTGAAAGAGGCTTAGTCATAAACACAATACAAGCGTATTAGTAAACATTTAAAGAATGTAGCAATGGATAATTAAGGTATCTGAAAAAAAGTAACAAAAATGCAACATACCTGATTCGCTATCATGATCACTGCCGTGATCGCTTAGTCGAATTCCTTCATCCTCCTCGCATCGCACAATGAACTCAGCCTTTACAGACCCTTTTAAGTTTTCGTTACTAAATTCCATAATGCTATCCACCGTATTTAAGCTCTGCGTGTACAATTGATGAGTGGAATAAAACGATTTCATGTCGGAGTCCAAGTCATGTGTCCCCGATTCGAGTCGGTGATCGAATTCCGACGCAATCGGCGATCCGTTATAAGCGTTGAAATTATTAGCCGACATCTCATCGTGTAATCCTCGTTGGTTCACAGGGAGGCCATTTAGCCGGTTTAGTGTTTGGTCCTGATTCAAGGAGTTTAGTGCTAGATTTTGGTACTCAGAAATTTGTCCCATTTGATCCAGAGAGTGTACTGAACGTTCCTCTACCAAATTTGACAGCCAGTCGACGGACTGCGTATCGAACACATCGTTGCTGTACGGCTAAGGAGGAAAGATTATATAGATATATAAACATACAAAGAAGTTTTAGACCAGTTATGCGTCGTGTACTTGAAATATACGAATGTACAATTGCGTCACTATGTGTGAAGTTTATAGGGTGGTATATTGGATTGTCGGTGGTTTTGAGTGCAACGAAAGAAGATTGTTTATTTTGAATATTGTTATTATTCTGTTAGACAGTGTCGTTTTGAGAAATGTGTCTGAATTTGCACGACTGATGCTTTATAACCTGCATGCAAAGATCAGGTTTTAATATTGTGCTTTGGAGCAAAGTTATAACGGAACATTCAATTGAGAGTTGCAATTCTCTTACACCTTCGCTGACCGCAAACTCTCATCGACTCTCGTGAACTTTCATCAACTCTCATGCAACTCTTGTCGTCGCTTGACCGATGAATGAGACTTGAGAAAGCTCTCGTGCAAACTCTCGCTTGTCAAATCTCATACAACTCTTGCACAAGTTTGACCAAGCCCAAGGCTATAGTTACGTTGTAAATAAGTGTTAGCCGTGCTTAACCCCAGAATGAAGAGTTCTTTTAGGATAGGTTAGTTTTATGAAAGAGCCCTTTACGGTCTTTGGAATGGGGATTAAAGTAGGGGATACATATTCGAGTACATAATTCGCTTTAAGTCAGTATTATAATCTAATCTAATTCTCTCCAGTAAAAATCAATCGCTGCACGAAGTTTACTATACTTGAGTTGACTTCCTTTGAAACATACTGCAGTTTAAAACCTCTCATGTTCAGGAAGCCAAACGATTTATGCAATTTGCATAGATGAATGACATTCCACCCAACTCGATCAAATTGACAGTTTGACAATCTTCGACACTACCCGATGTTGTTAAAACATCAGTAAAACCAGACAAATACAGATTGGAATAGCTACTATAGTTCAAACTTCTCAGAATCAGAAAGCCAAACGATTTATATTATTTAAATGCATGAATGGCATTCCGCCCCCAAACTAATTCATTGATCATTTGCTTCTGAAAATGACTTATAAGACATATAGATATAGTCAAAACATAAATGACATCACAAAGCTTTTTACGACTGTTCTCCAACCGTATTTCTCGAATATCCAAGGTATTCGACCCGAATTCCCTTCCACAGCTCAAATAAACATTCCTAGACTTATATATAATACAAACATAGTACAAATCCTACCATAAATTGATCCAGATACGAACTCTCTGAGTGAAATTCGTCCAAAGGCTCTCGTTTTACAATCGCCATATCGAAAACTTCCATACTTGAAATATTCGATGCCCACACTAAGAGCTCTTTTAACACACAAGGAATGGAATCAATATATCGCACTCCTACTTAGAAGCCAACCGTGTGTAAAATGCTAGCTCCCTACAGAACTCTTTTTGAATCACTCAATGGAACAAGTTATACAAATAGACCTGCTTTCAACCAATCAGAAAGTCAAATGAGACAATAGCTTTAGAACTACGAATTTACATAGCCCCCTAATATATGCGAGCAAATTTCGCCTTAATTCACATTATACATGGTTGCCAAGCGCTGTAGAGTTGAGTTGAAAGTATTTTAAAGAAAGCCATTAGATTGTTTGCTCAAACGCAGCCATAGTGTTTGGCTTTTAACTGGTCTCGTATTTCAAACAATATTAAACACGCTACTTATTTCGAAACTCATCAGGGACCAGCACTTCGGACAATGGGTTGCGTAGCGACCGAATTCAAAGCGAAAAGACATTTTTGTTACAAATGAATGAGTTTCTAGACACTATGTATGAAACAAAATGGCAATTTGGAAGACGCTTGCTAATTAGTTTGCATCAAACAAATACATCAAACCATTTTTTGTGATATCAATAACACGATATACAAAGGCTTTCAAAAAGATAACGTTTTACCGAGCTTTCGTTCCACCAGACTAGGTTTTTGTTTGTATCTGTTTCGCGTGTATACAGCAATTGTGTATACAGTTGTATATCGAATCGTTTGTGAAAGCGCATAAATAGTTTGAGTTGCATTTTTGGCTATGACTGGAGTGTTTGCGGTCCAGTGGGATAGTGTATGTGTCTTCCTTCTCTTTGATTCCTGTATTATGCAATCAATATAGGATTATTCTTACTGGAACAAGTTATACTGGACCAGCTTAGAACTGATAGAGCTATCCAGTGTAAAGTTAGTTAAGTTTAGGTTTCCTCCTGTAGTAACACTGGATTAATAAGAGATGACCGTTACTCGATCTCTAGGAAGAACAGTTTAGAACTGATAGAGCTATCCATTATAAATAAAGTTAGTTTAGTTTAGTTTTCCCCCTGTGGTAACACTGGATCAATAAGAGATGATCCTTACTGGACCTCTAGGAAGAACAGTTTAGAACTGATAGAGCTATCCAGTATAAATAAAGTTAGTTTAGTTTAGTTTTCCCCCTGTAGTAACACTAGATCAATAAGAGATGATCCTTACTGGACCTCTAGGAAGAACAGTTTAGAACTGATAGAGCTATCCAGTATAAATAAAGTTAGTTTAGTTTGGGTTTCCTCCTGTAGTAACACTGGATCAATGAGAGATGATCCTTACTAGACCTCTAGGGAGAACAATTTAGAACTGATAGAGCTATCCAGTATAAATAAAATTAGTTTGGTTTAGGTTTCCTCCTGTGGTAACACTGGATCAATAAGAGAGATGATCCCTATATACTGGACCTTTAGGGAGAACAGTTTAGAACTGACAGTTCTGAACTCTTCTTCCTATATACGTGTAGAAAGGGTCACCCCTTACAAGGTCAGTATTACTACAGGAGAAACCAGAGTGCCTGGACAAAACCTGTGGTGTTTGCTAAAGTCAAACTGGAAGCACTGTTCTCACATGCGACTGAGGCTAATTTATAACCAGACAAGTGTATACTGCAGAAATCAAGATCTCTTCCTTGAAGGAACAGGAACAGGAACTTGAAGCCTTGACGGAAAGAGGATATTGAACTTTTTTTAGAAAATAATTATTTTGTACTGTATATTTAGAAGACTTCCTTTTTCCAAAACGATAATCTCCTTTTAGAATTACGCACATGAATGAGGAAATATTTGTATAACACTGGATCAATAAGAGACGATTCTTACTGGACCTCTGGGGAGAACAGTTTAGAACTGATAAAGCTATCCAGTATAAATAAAGTTAGTTTAGTTTAGGTTTCCTCCTGTAGTAACACTGCATCAATAAGAGATGATTCTTATTGGACCTCTAGGAAGAACAGTTTAGAACTGATAGAGCTATCCAGTATAAATAAAGTTAGTTTAGTTTAGGTTTCCTCCTGTAGTAACACTGCATAAATAAGAGATGATTCTTATTGGACCTCTAGGGAAAACATTTTAGAACTGATAGAGCTGTCCAGTACAAAGAAAGTTTATTCATGTTGGCATTCATTTCAATCGCAAGCAACGAGTGCAGTTTTACAATCAAAATCATTTGCATGTTCTGGCTTTTTCATCAAATCCTTTTCTTTCCAAATGCTAGTCATATTTCCCACACGAAAAGTATTCAAGCGAAACAAACTAGGCCAGTGTTTTGTAACCAAGGTAAAACTGAAACATTTCTTTTGAAGTTTAATTACTATCAGACAAAGAATGTCGCTGGCGGGTGATCTATTATGATCCAATGTTATATCTAGCTTATATTTAGCTTTTGTGAACACTCAGATAAGATAAGATAAGATAAGCCTTCCTTGGTATGCATTTTGTATAATGCATGCACGTAATTGTTAAGTGAAATAGGTTCTGCGATAGAAATGAATGAAATGGAACGGTACCTTAAAATACACTTTCATATAAATGGCCATTCCGAGAATCGAAGAGATTTGACCATGCGTTAGACAGCATTAAGCCATGAATCTGAAAAATAGAAAGAACATTGAAAAATGTTCAGACTTAATTTATACTGGATAGCTCTGTCACTTCTAAACTGTTCTCCCTAGAGGTCCAGTGAGGAGCATCTCTTACTGAACTAAACTAACTTTATTTATACTGGATAGCTCTATCACTTCTAAACTGTTCTCCCTAGAGGTCCAGTAAGGATCATCTCTTACTGAACTAAACTAACTTTATTTATACTGGATAGCTCTATCACTTCTAAACTGTTTTCCCTAGAGGTCCAGTAAGGATCATCTCTTCTTGATCCAGTGTTACTACAATACAAAACCTAAACTAAACCACCTTCATTTATACTGAATAGTTCTATCAGTTCTAAACTGTTCTCCATAGACGTCCAGTAAGCATCATCTCTTCTTCATCCAGTGTTACTACAGGAGGAAACCTGAACTAAACTAACTTCAGGTCTAAGCTCTTCTCTTATTGTTCTTCCTATAGAAGTCCAGAGAGGGTCACTGTACCCCGAGGAAACCTATAGTGTGAAATTTCTCACATGCGACTGGGGTAAAATTATATTCAGATAATGCATGCACATTCCAAAAATCGAATTCTGGGCATAAAGAGAACCTCGAGTTCTGAATAACAGTTGTCAAATCTGTATGGACACTCATTCTAAGAAAAACAAAAAGCAAAAGCCAAATGGACCTTTCCCCTTATAACTAAAATTTCGATCTGGACAAAAATTTCATCACAACTTGAAAGAGCATGACAAAATTAGTAATATTCCAAAGTTTTGTTGCAAAATCTTGTAAAATGCGGATAATATAGCCTTGCGAAGTTTGCCGTTTTTCAGTCATTTTGTATTACAAACGAGAAATTGACATCCGATTCGGGTGTTGGGGCTGCAATTTCCCGTGCGTAATGCAAAATGACTAAAAATTGCAAACTTAGCAAGGCTCTATTATCCTCATTTTACAACATTTCGCAACGAAACTTTGGAATATTACTAATTTTGTGATGCTCTTTCAAGCTGTGATGAAATATTTGTCTAGACTTGCCTAGATCAAAATTTTGGTTATAAGGGGAAAGGTCCATTGAAAATATATTTTAAACTCAAACTACTGTCACAAAACGTCGTTTAATTACAATCACAAAGTAAAAGTGACCATCTGTCTAATATCACAAACAACAGCTCAAGGCATGTCGCTATCAAAACTTATTGAAATTCTTCGATTTTATGAAATGCAGTTGCCATGGTTAACTTTTGGAGGAAAATTTTAATATAAAGCTGGAAATAATTCATTAATATTTTCGGTTCAGCCTTTGACCTCTTGGCGTGCATTGAAATTAATACAATTTTTGAATTACATATTGGCCGCTCCTATAAAGAGTTTCACAGTTCACATATTGGAACCATCAGTGATTGCAACAGTCTTACTACAGGAGAAAACCTAAAGTAAACTACTGTAACTTTATTTATACTGGATAGATCTGTCAGTTCTAAACTGTTCTTCCTAGAGGGCCAGTAAGGATCATCTCTTATTGATCCAGTATTACTACAGGAGGAAACCTAAACTAAACTATAACTTTATTTATACTGGATAGCTCTATCAGTTCTAAAATGTTCTTCCTAGAAGGCCGGTAAGGATCATCTCTTATTGATCCAGTGTTACTACAGGAGCAAACCTAAACTAAACTAACTTTATTTATACCGGATAGCTCGATCAGTTCTAAACTGTTATTCCTAGAGGTCCAGTAAGGATCATATCTTATTGATCCAGGGTTAGTTACTACAGGAGGAAACCTAAACTAAACTAACTCTATTTGCACTGGATAGATCTATCAGTTTTAAACTGTTTTCCTTAGAAGTCCAGTAAAAGGTATCTCTTGCTACAAGAAGAAAACTACATTAATTTTGTTTATATTCGAAGAGACAATAACTAGAAAGTACTTACAAAATTTAGGTCTTTCTTCATACAAACAATATATAAACTCCATCATCCATGGCTTCATGATCCCTGTCTTCGGAATGAACTGCCATCATTAAAAGTTAAATCTGTATTGAAGAGTTTGAACTAGAAACAAAATCTGAATAGACAGTTATAGTAGAACAATGTGCAGTAAATAAAATATTTGAATATACATGCACGAGTTTATGTCACACAGATATAAATTCACCTAAAAATTATATACATTTATTTAACTTGTTTTATCAACATACAAAATATGAAATTTGCTAATCTTTAAAACTACATTTCTGTCTTTAATTTTTTGTCCATTGTTATTCTGTGGTTTGTCAGGACGGAATGAGAAGCTGAAGATGCCATTCTCGCCATGTATCCTATCATGGCAAAGCGAGACGATGTAAACAGCCCGTAAACGATTGTCATAAACTAGAGTTGCTAGAACTTCTAGATCCTATCCTTCTTAATGCGGGATTTGAACGGAATGTGAAACCATGATACACCAACTCTCTCAGCACATCTTCCTCAGATGGTTCGTTCAACGTGCCAGAAAACATCTCATGAACACGAAACGATTTACGTTCAACCATGAAAGACTATAATAATGACGATTATAGCTGACTTTATTTATAATGCTGTATCGCTCCTATCAGTTCTAAACTGACACTGTTCTTCTTAGAAATCAAGTAAGGATCATCTCTTATTGATCCAGTGTTACGACAGGAGGAAACCTTAACTAACTTTATTTATACTGAATATTTGTATCATACGTCTAAACTGTTATCCCTAGACGTCCAGCAAAAGTTATCGCTTCTTGTTCCAGTTTTTCTTCAGGAGAAAACCTAAACTAAACTAACATGGTTTGGGAGAGTCAAACTGGATGTACTCTTCTCGCATGAGACTGAGGTGAAATTATAATCAGACAACTGCATACCTGTGTTAAAGTTCTGGAGACATCTTGCCCAGGACGTTCTTTCACACGTTTTTGCCTTTCTTGCCAACGGTCTATGAACACCTGAATTATGTATAATAAAATATCAATTAGACTAGAGTAATAGTACAATTATATCCGAGCAGTGAAAATAGAATAATACAATAAGATAGATAAATGATTTTAGTACCTTTAATATAGCAGTATATATAATTGTAGTTACACTGAGGGGGATACACAGTTTGCTAACATACTCATAAAAATTCTATATTACAAGCATAGATTAACTAGGAAAATTAAATTATATATATTTACAAACTATATTACTTATGAATGTTCTAATACTTATTCAAAAAACTCATTAATTCAAAGATCATAATTATAAGCGTGTCGTATCTTTCATATGTGATAGAGATTTCCCTTGATTTACATAAACTTTAACTTTGATTTTCTCGACTTACACAACGCATTTTTTGAAAGTTACTTCGCCAATGAACTTACTAGATCGAGCGCTTTTGAAGCAATTTAGAACATTCACAGTGCGTGTTTTATCAGACCTATAAATACTCGGCTTCACCTCGTATCTTTATATCTGATAAAACACTGCTGCTCATGTTTAAATAGTACTTAAAAGTATTTATGCATTTATTCATGAAGGTGTCTCTATATCTATTAGTTCTAAACGCATTATGGCTCTAAATAAAAATTTAGAGTAACAATTTAGAGTTTAAATAGTACTTAAAAGTACTTATGCATTTATTCATGAAGGTGTCTCTATATCTATTAGTTCTAAACGCATTATGGCTCTAAAAGGTGTTTCTCTATATCTATTTTCTCTACGCATGTATCTATTAGTTTAAAGGGCTCCTAAGATTAAGTGAATCCATTGCCTCATTGAAGGATATAAGATGAAATAATCTGTCCTATTTATTTCTTAAAATGTTGCTAAAAAGTTTCTCACTTACGTCGAGGAGCAAGGCAACAAAAAGATTGACACAAATGACGACAGATATCAAATACCAAGCAACAAAGAACACTTGGGACCAACTAGAAAATAACGACGACAATTATCACTTACTGTACCATATTTCACTTGATAAAATAAGACAACAATCACAAAGCATTGCGACTAATTTTTCACCGCATATATACCATGCACGATTTAGGGTGGCTTTATTATGGCACTCAGTTGTAACACTGTTACAAGTGTCACACAGTGTTAAACAATGTTACATATTCTTACATAGTGCTACACAGTGTTACATATTGTTACACATTGTTACATAGTGTTACACAGTGCTACATAGTGCCACAGAGTGTTGACAGTGTTTACAGTGTTACACAGTGTTACATAGTGTTACACACACTAACCCTACCCCTAACCCCACCTCTAACCCTAAACCCACCGTGTTACATAGTGTTACATAGTGCCACAGAGTGTTGATAGTGTTACATAGTGTTACATAGTGCTACACACACTAACCCTACCCCTAACCCCACCTCTAATCCTAAACCCACCGTGTTACATAGTGTTACATAGTGTTACATAGTGTTACACACACTAACCCTAACCCTAACCCCACCCCTAACCCCACCGTGTACATAGTGTTACACACACTAACCCTACCCCTACCCTTACCCTTACCCCTAACCCTATCCCTAACCCTAAATAAAGATAGTGTAACACTTGCCTAAATAAAGATAGTGTAACACTTGTAACACTGTTACCCGAGTATATACTTGATAATACACCCTAAATCAGGCATCATATGACCGCATACCTTGATGTGTAATGTGTATAAGCATGAAGAAAGATATGCCAGTTATTCACAATCATTGCATCCCATAATACCACCAAAGAAGCCTAGGCAGGGAATAGAACAGACAGAAAGCTGGTTTTCCACTAGGCGGAATTTTGTGCGCGGAGCGGAATTTTTCTTTGTCTTGTGATTTCTCGGGTGGAACTAATCAGAAAAGACAAAGAGAAATTCCGCTCCGCGCGGAAAATTCCGCCTAGTGGAAAGCCGACTGAATACCTCCGTCTTCGAATTAAGTTATGTATCATTCATAAATGGTCTAATTATACGCAATCGGTTTATTTTGCCCGGCAAGGTAAGACAATCTTTTAGTAATTTCGCATCCAATACAAGTTTTCGTATTATTGTCGATTTCAGGTAACTTTTCAACACGCTGTTCCCAAGTTCGTTGCGAACTTGCCAATTACGTTGTCAATTTCAGACGTTGGGCGCGAACTTCGCAACGAAGTTTGCAAGTTCATTTCAAAGTTCGAACTTTGATTGTAAACAAATGTTCATAGTTGGAGTTGAAATTACTGTATAATTATAATGCCTATAAATGACATTTTTACATTTGTTTACAATCGAAGTTCGAACTTTGAAATGAACTTGCGAAATTCGTTGCGAAGTTCCCGCTCAACTTCCGAATTTGGAAACGTAATTGACCATTTGCGTAATAGACTAAATTTTGAACTAAACAAGTCTAGACAAAAATTTCATCACAGCTTGAAGGAGCATCACAAAATTAGTAATATTCCAAAGTTTTGTTGCAAAATGTTGTAAAATGCGGAAAATATAGCCTTGCGAAATTTGCATTTTCAGTCATTTTAGATTACAAACGGGAAATTGACAGCCCCAAACCCTTCGAGGCTGTCAATTTCCGGTTTGTAATCTAAAATGACTGAAAATTGCAAATTTCGCAAGGCTATATTTTCTGCATTTTACAACATTTTGCAACGAAACTTTGGAATATTACTAATTTTGTGATGCTCTTTCAAGCTGTAATGAAATTTTTGTTGAGATCAAAATTTAGTCTATTACGCAAATGGTCAATTGACAAGTTGACAACAAACTTGGGAACCGCGCTTTGAAAAGTAATCTGAAATCGACAATAACACGTTCGCTATTTTTAATGTTATCATGCTGAGAAGCAAACACACACACACACACACACACACACACACACATATACAAACTGGCGGAGGTGATAACACAGTCCAGTCTTCTGCATGTTCTCTTACCCCAAAGTCGTTGAAATTATTTGCCCAGTATTCAAGCTGCTCGTATGTTCCGCAAGTAAAACTGTGAAATGAGAAATAGACAATTAGTTATTTATTCCAGCGGCGACCGCGGATCGACTATACATGTTGAAAATTTACGCGGACTTTTTCGCGAGGTACGTGCTGCAATGTTCCATTACGACCTATACTATAGGCTACAATTAATGCGTGTATTTTGTTGTCGACAAAGAGAGCAAACTTACTGTACAGTATACGTATATTTATTCATTTTAAGGCCACATAAAATAAATTCCTTGATTCTCATCACTAGGCTTTGAAAATGTCGAAGAGCCGGGAGGTTTATATTTTATATTTTATATTTATATAATTTGTCATCAATAAATAAAAAAATAATTCCTAAATATTTCTGTGATTTCCAAAGTGAAGTGTCACAAACCAAAATGAACATATTTCTCCACGAGAAAATGACTGAACACTTGAACTGAATGCGAAGTTCCGTTAAAATGCAATGAAATTTCTTTCAAAGTTCTATTTGTTTGAAATTGGCAGTTTAAAATGGCACTAAAAACCCAATTTTAAATATAAAAAACTTAACTGTCTTGAAATATTTTGTCGGGCGGTTCATTTTTATTGTATAACAAAATATAAAAAAAATTCACGCGGCTCTTAAAATACAGTCAGGTGGTGATGAGAATCAAGGAATATATTTTATGTGGCCTAAGGGACCGGTCATTATTTATGGTGGGGGGTAGCACCGAAGAGAAAAGGGTTGGGTAAACAAAATTTTGAGTGAGTAAAAGGTTGGGTAAATGAAAAACAAAACAACTCAAGGGTTGGGTAATAATAATTTCTAAAGCATGACTCACTGAAATATTGGAGACTAAAAAGCAATGTCAACAGTCATATGTCAATACAATATGTGAATCAATCGGAGTCACTATCTTGATCACTGGTTTTCAATTTGTTGGGAGACAAATGGTGTCTCCAAAGAAAGTACATGTGCAGACAACATGAAACTTTAGACTGCAAAAAAATTCACAATCCGTTATCAAACTCATGTCACAGAAGTGGCAAGGGACATGTGTGACAACTGAGTGGTACCTTTTTGTAAAGTTTTTGGCCAGGGGTGGGTATTTATTTTTTAATTGATATTTGAGGTTAGGTAATCAAATTTTTTACTTTTTAATGGTCGGGTCAGCAAAATTTTTGCCACGAAAAACATTTCTCTTCGGTGCCACCCCCCACCATAAATAATGACCGGTCCCTAATGGGTGATTCGAGCTATAGACTAAATTTTGATCTAGGCAAGAAGAACAAAATCCATCACCACTGAAAAATGGTTATTTTTACCGCGCGTAATACAAATATATACAAAATTTTCGAACTTCACAGGGCTATATTAGAGACCTTAAGATTGACGTTTACGGCAAACGTCAAACCGCTAGCGAGGTTTTTGATTTTACAACTCTATTATAATAGCTTTTACACCAGTTTTGAAATGTGTTAAACTTATTAAACTTGTGCTCTTTAGCAATGACTTAAGAAAGCAAATTAACCACTAGTCATGCCATTCACTAAAGCAGTAAATTGAGATTTGGCGTTTGAAGTTGACGTTTGGCGTATAAAATATAAATTTCATGCTTGAACTGCTACGAGGGCTTGTAGTCATTAAAGCATGAAATTTATACGCCAAACGTCAACTTCAAACGCCAAATCTTAATTTACTGTTTTGGTGAATGGCATGACTAGTGGTTAATTTGCTTTCTTAAATCATTGCTAAAGAGCACAAGTTTAATAAGTTTAACATATTTCAAAACTGGTGTAAAAGCTATTATAATAGAGCTGTAAAATCAAAAACTTCGCTAGCGGTTTGACGTTTGCCGTAAACGTCAATCTTAAGGTCTCTATTTTCTTCATTTTACAACATTTCGCAACCAAACTTTGCAATTTTACTCATTTTAAGATGCTCTTTCCAGCCATGGTAATGGATTTCTTCTTGTCTAGATCAAAATTTCGTCTATAGTATAGCTGGAATTATCCATTATCCATTTTTATTTTTGACTTACTTTACAGTAGCATTTGTATTCTCTGGTGGCTGTATGGCATTCTCAAATATCATCATACCGAAGATGGCAAATGAATAATACACAGCCTAATACAAACACAAGATTAACATTGTCATGAAATCACACTAGAACACTACACGTAACCTGACATATAGTAGTATTCACGCCTCCAGCACCCAGGGCGCGAAATAACGGCTGGAGGGTCGGCGGTCAAGGTGATCGGCCAACTCAATTTTAGCTCGGACATACCGAATTTCTGGCCGGTCAAATTATTCAGCTTAAAGCAAAGCCTAGTAAAGTATATTCCTAAAAATGTGACCATTTTCCCAGTATAGCAGTACAAAAAGCCTTACTGTAATCACTGATTAAAAATTTCCTTCACATAAAACAGCTTGTACTGGGCTAAAAGCATGGTCTTAGCTCTTAAGCCAAAGGCATGGCCATGGCCCATGAGCTTTGTGACGTACTGCGTGCGAAAACTGGTGTACATTGAAGTTGTTTTCCTGCAAAATATTCGACAACATGCATGTTATGGTTCTTAATTATAATACTGTACTTGACCACTTTATTTTGATTATTATTATAAAATGAAGATTAGTTTGTTCTTTTACCGAAAGTGACCGGTCAAAATGACCGGCAAGGTAAGAATTTGACTGGACAACTCCGCATTCTGGCCGGACATTGTCCGTTGACCCGCCGTTGTTTCGCGCCCTGCCAGCACCTGCAGCAAACCTATAGATATTGATTATTGAATGATACCATTTTTAAAGGAGAGCCTTACCACTATGACGCCACCAAAAGGTTTAAGATTCTTCAAAAGATATCCCAAGGTACTTGTGATCACCGATAATGACTACAAAAATATACTTTATTTAACAAATATAAAACATTTTCCGTGTTGATATACAGTTATATCAATACGAGTGGAAATTGGGAAAACGAGAAATTGTGTGGAAACACGACGCCCGAGGGGTGGAGTGTTTTCACACAATTTCGAGTTTTCCCAATTTCCACGAGTGTTGATATAACTATATATCAATACGGAAAAAATGTTTTATATTTGTTTTATAATCTAGCACAAAGAAACATAAGGAAAGAAATTTTCCGACGTTTCCGTGTTGACATCAACACGGCTCTTAGCCAATCCGCGATCAGGATTTACAAATGCTATATTATAATCTTATTTATTCACCAGCTTTGTCATAAATGACTGGTGATCATTACAGGGCTTATCGTCCCATTCACAGGGTCCCTTAAACTAAACATTTACATCAAGAACAACACATTATATTTACAAGGCCCGACAAACGACGACAGGAGTGACATTTAACACAGACAGTTTTAAATGATTGTAGTACATTAACGTCATTTCGTGATAATATTTCAACAAGTATGATTTAAAAACAACGACCCCGAAAACACCGAGCCCGAAAACAACCGACCCTGAAAACACCGAGGCTGAAATTTGAAAACGGAATTCTGGCGTTTGAAAACCAAGTTTTAACATTTGAAAACGGAGTTCTGGTACTTCTGGCATTTGAAAACCAAGTTCTGGCACTTGAAAAGGGAGTTCTGGCATTTGCATGTAAAGGGAGTTCTGGCGTTTGAAAACGGAGTTCTGGCATTTGAAAAGGTACTTTTGGAATTTGAAAACCAAATGCTGCATTTAAAAAGGGAGTTCTGCCAGTTGAAAAGGGAGTTCTGGAATTTGTAAAGGAAGTTCTGGCGTTTGAAAACGGAGTTCTGGCATTTGAAATAGTACTTCTGCCATTTGAAAAGGGAGTTCTGGCATTTGTAAAGGGAGTTCTGGCCTTCGAAAACGGAGTTCTGGCATTTGAAAAGGCATTTCTGCCATTTGAAAACCAAGTTCTGTCATTTGAAAAGATACTTCGGGCATTTGAAAAGGGAGTTCTGGCATTTGTAAACGGAGTTCTGGCGTTCGAAAACGGAGTTCTGGCATTTAAAAACGTACTTCTGGTATTTGAAAACCAAGTTTTGCCACTTGACAAGATGCTTCGGGTATTTAAAAGGGGAGTTATGGCATGTGTAAAGGGAGTTCTGGCGTTTGAGAACGGAGTTCTGGCATTTCACCCTTCGGTACATTTGGTACTTCCGGCGTTTGACAATGGTACTTCTGGCGTTGGATTGGACTGACCAGGATTTGCTGGTTAAATGAACCAGACTAATTGGTATACGTGGATAAATGACCAGAACAATATTCGTAGTTTCGTACCCACCTTGATACTGAAAATAGTTCTGACCAGACGAAATATGATCAGGACATTGACAATCTTTATAATGTTCCATGTCGAACGCTCGTTATTACCATACCGTCTAAAACGATGCAGAAATAAACAGACATCGTTCAGTCCATAATGAAAATACTCGATGCATCAAAGCAGTTTGGTCATTTCAATTGACCTATTACCTAATGAACAAAATTTTGATCTAGACAAATCCAGCTTGAAAGAGCATCAGAAAATTAGTAATATTCCGAAGTTTCGTTGCGAAATGTTGTAAAATGCAGATAATATACAGCCCTGCGAAGTTTGCCGTTTTTCAGTCGTTTTGTATCACGCGCGCGGAAAATTGATACCGCTTTCTGAAAAAATGTATCAACTGAGCCAGTTCCCTCAAATATTTCTTGCCCGAATTTACATATGAAAAACAAAGCGGAACTTCGAGACAATTTAGTAAAAGATTTTTCAGTCTTTGTCCCTTGGTTCCATTTCGCAAACGATGTGTAATTGTGTATACATGTACTTCATCACTAACTTGCGTAGGTCTGTCTCCAATGGCGAGCCATACATCGAAATATCAACAATTTGAGTGACCTATAAAACGATTAGACCCATATATAAATCAAGTAAACTTACAACAAACTTAACCACGCTGGCCATACACAACATATTTGTAAAAATACAATGAATTGATTTTCAGATGGGGCGTGTTATACTTACAAACTATCTTAACTCACGTCCTAGTCTCCGGTATAGTGGGCATACTGCGCTTAAATTGGTAAAGCGAGGATGCCTTTTTCGCCTCAGAAGGAAAACTATTCCACAGCATTGCACCACTATACTTAAAACTTCGTTTAAGATAAGTTTGTTTTAGGTTTTGGAAGTGCTAGATCAGTATCATTACTTCGAAGATTATATTCTCTATTAAGACCTTTAATTTTTATAAATTTTTCTCTAAGAGTTTCAAGATGGAACTTTTATCTGAAGATTGTTTCGTACATTGCAAACAAATACTGTAATTCACTTACCACTAACGCTAATGTTATGACACCATCAAATATATTTTGCTATAAACAAAGTTTCAGTAAAACATCAGTAAAAATTGAGGGTCAAACTGTCAAGTTCCAATAGCTGTCCAAACATCCTAGCAGCACATATACCTTATGTGTTATATAACGTTGCCAACCAATTGCCCAGATTTTAAGACACTGCAAAGAACAACCGGAGAGATGATCAAATTATTTTTTCACTTAAAGTGCTACTATATCCTCAGATGGAATTTTTGGGATGCCCTACCTGTTCCAAAAAGTAATAGACTATGAAAAAGAAGTCAACAGCCTGTAGAAAAGATTGAATACTCTTAATTTTCTATAATAATTGCAGAAGCATTATGATAATCCATACAATACTTACAGCCAGGGTGGAGTGAACATAAAACGTGTTCTTATCAAAATGTCTTGATAGCTCCACCTTGAAATACAGAAATGATTATGGCAAGTGTCTTTCACAAAACGATTCTTCAATTATTACTTGAAAAACTGGATGAATAAGAGATGATCTTTACTGGACATCCTTATTGGACATCTAGGGAGAACAGTTTAAAACTGATAGAGCTATCCAGTACAAATAAAGTTAGTTTAGTTTAGGTTTCCTCCTGTATTAACACTGGATCAATAAGAATGATCCTTACTGGACCTCCAGGAAGAACAGTTTAGAACTTATAGAGCTATCCAGTAAAAATAAAGTTAGTTTAGTTTAGGTTTCCTCCTGTAGTAACACTGGATCAATAAGAGATGATCCTTACTGGACCTCTAGGAAGAACAGTTTAGAACTGATAGAGCTATCCAGTATAAATAAAGTTAGTTTGGTTTAGGTTTCCTCCTGTAGTAACACTGGATCAATAAGAGATGATCCTTACTGGACCTCTAGGGAGAACAGTTTAGAACTGATAGAACTATCCAGTATAAATAAAGTTAGTTTAGTTTAGATTTCCTCCTGTAGTAACACTGGATCAATAAGAGTTGATCCTTACTGGACCTCCAGTATAAACAAAGTTAGTTTAGTTCATTAGTGCATTTAATGTCACTAAAAATACGTGCATACCTTGACATTCAGACTCAGTGCAGTTGGGGTACACATGTCTCCATTCATAACAACGCACGTCAGCATTACATATGAGTTCAGTCAACGGCCTCTCACTCGGGCAGTCTGAGTCAGTGAGATCTTGTATTGCACCACTCACGAGAAGTTTCTTACACGACAGAGTCCTCGTCTGGATACCTTCACATTTGTTTTTAGAACACTGTGAATATACAAAGAAATATGAATTTAGAAATATAACTACTCAGTCTTAAAAGTTAAAACTATCAGTTCTAAACTGTTCTTAGAGCTCTAGTAAGGATAATCTCTTATTGATCCAGTGTTACTACAGGAGGGAACTAAACTAACTTTATTTATACTAAACTGTTCTTCCTAGAGCTCTAGTAAGGATCGTCTCTTATTGATCCAGTGTTACTACAGGAGGAAACCTAAATTAAACTAACTTTATTTATACTGAATAGCTCTATCAGTTCTAAACGGTTCTACCTAGAGATCCAGTAAGGATCATCTCTTATTGATCCAGTGTTACTACAGGAGGAAACCTAAACTAAACTAACTTTATTTATACTGAATAGCTCTATCAGTTCTAAACTGTTCTACCTAGAGATCCAGTAAGGATCATCTCTTATTGATCCAGTGTTACTGCAGGAGGAAACCTAAACTAACTTTATTTACACTGGATAACTCTATCAGTTCTAAACTGTTCTACCTAGAGATCCAGTAAGGATCATCTCTTATTGATCCAGTGTTACTACAGGAGGAAACCTAAACTAAACTAACTTTATTTATACTGGATAGGTCTATCAGTTCTAAACTGTTCTACCTAGAGATCCAGTAAGGATCATCTCTTATTGATCCAGTGTTACTACAGGAGAAAACCTAAACTAAACTAACTTTATTTATACTGAATAGCTCTATCAGTTCTAAACTGTTCTTCCTAGAGCTCTAGTAAGGATCATCTCTTATTGATCCAGTGTTACTACTGGAGGAAACTGCAGTGCCCAGAGAAAAGCTATAATGATCGGTAGAGTCAAAGTGGAAGCGTTGTTCTCACAACAAATTGAGGTGGAATTAAAATGAGACAAGTGATATTGCAGGAATAAAACCCTGGTCACAGAGAGAAATGTACTAATCACTCTGTGATCAACAGTGATAGTTTTAACTCACCGCTGACCAATTCGCAGGTACCCAGTCAGGCTCACAGTCTTTTCGATTGCAATCTTCTGAATCATCAGGTTTCACCCCAGGACACTGACTCACATCTGTTAACACGGTCGTGACGTCAGCACTCTCTTTCTGACGACATTCTACTGTTCTATTCCGCGTTCCACTAGGACCGCAGTCGGCACTACAAGATGTCCAAGCATCAGCCTGCCAACTATGAAAAAAGGCAAATTATGTTTCAGCTCTTAAGGACCATTTCCACTCAAGAAAATATTCCACGGACGAAATATTTTTCGAAAATATCATTGTCAAAAGTTGAAAATTTTCAACTTCAAACTTTTGTGTCAGTCAGCCACATTTTACAATTTTTTTCTTTCCGGGGAAAATTTTCTTGAGTGGAAATGGGTCTTTACGACCGATATCTCAATCCCGAAAACGAAGCTCTGCAGCCATGGCTGAGGAGTTTCCGGAAGCGTGTATCGGTATGATAACATGATATACCTCAATCTCGTACCCAGAGCAATGCCTGTACGCGGGCTAGGATGGCATTGGTACAGGCATTGCTCTGGGTACAAGATTGGATATACCTCGGAGCACAAGCCTGGATATTACAAGCCTCAGTATCAGTTGGTTCTGTTGTAGGATCACAATGTTCTGTCCCAACTTCACTTTGATCATCTGTACGATGACATGTCGTGATCTTTGTCTTCACACCTGCAGGGAAATTTTTTTCACAAACAAGCAACGATAGTTAACACGCTTAATAATTTGTATTGGAGATGCGTCATCAGTCAAGATGTTTTGTCTAAGACTGGTTTACACCATCAAATTTTCTGTGATCACAGTAGGAATTATGCAGTAAGGTAAATTCTAAGTTTTGAAAGATTTGTAAGAAATGTTGAGGGAACTGACTTCGTGTTAAACATTTAGTCAGTTTCCTCAAACATTTCTTACAAATCCTTTAAAATTTAGAATTTACCTTTGCAAAATTCCTACTGTGATCACAGAAACTTTGATAGTGCAAACCAGTCTTAATGTCAACACAAGATAAACTACCAGATGAACTAACTAGAATAGCGTGACCTATACTGGAAATGGTTCTGGGAACAAATCAATGTCTGATAGATTCCTGGTGGTTCGTCTGATGGATCATTCATCTTAATGCCAACACAAGATAAACTACCAGATGAACTACTGTAGCTAGAATAGCGTGACCTATACTGGTGATGGTTCTGGGAACAAATCAATGTCTGATAGATTCCTGATGGTTCGTCTGATGTCGTATTTATACACATAAACAGATATAATCTTAACTGAAGGTCTGTGCCAGTGAGGTAGCGCCATTAACAAGAAAGTTTTGGATTGATAGGGATACAACTACCTGAAAAATACAAGGAGAATTTCAGGTCAAAGAAGAACTTCAGGCCAACGAAGTTCTCCTTGTATTTTCCCAGTAGTTGTATCTTTATCAATCCAACACAGACAGATCTTAACAGACAAGCTATCCATGCTCCAGTTTGACTTTGTAGACACAGATACTTAGTGTTGAAACGTTCATACACAGACAAATTATCAGATGAACTATCATTTCTTTGGCAAGTCTCCCCAGACGGATCATCTGTCTCTCTGGTGTAAATCATACCATGTCCACAATCCTACTGTACTAGCGGTACATACCTCCTGCGCATGCTTCACTGCAATCACTCAATGTATAATTCCAGACAAACGTCAGCGGTGTTGGATCAGGTGTGATCAGCGGTTCATAATATTCATAAGGAATTCCAGGATTGTTCTCAGTCCAGAAAATAAACTACAAGAAAATGATACTTAGAGTGGCACAATGGTTAGAACGTGTACCAGTCACCTCCGTGACCAGACCTCTAGAGAGAACAATTTAGAAGTGATAGAGCTAACCAGTATCAATAAAGTTAGTTTAGGTTTCTTCCTGTAGTAACACTGGATCAATAAGAGATGATCTTTACTGGACATCTAGGAAGAACAGTTTAGAACTGATAGAGCTATCCAGTATAAATAAAGTTAGTTTAGTTTAGGTTTCCTCCTGTAGAAACACTGGATCAATAAGAGATGATCCTTACTGTACCTCTAGGGAGAACAGTTTAGAACTGATAGAGCTATCCAGTATAAATAAAGTTAGTTTGTATATAAAAAAAGAAGAAAAAAAAGGCGTGTGAATTAAACAAGTCACATATTATTAGCACTGATGAAGATCCGGGCTTACGGATCGAAAGCTTTGCAGTAATAAATTTACGTGGTGTTTCCACAAACAAAACTATTATATGTTTTATCGCCATGCAAACATACAAAGAACTTATTAAAGTTAGTTTAGTTTAGGTTTCCTCCTGTAGTAACACTGGATCAATAAGAGATGATCCTTACTGGACCTCTAGGAAGAACAGTTTAGAACTGATAGAGCTATCCAGTATAAATAAAGTTAGTTTAGTTTAGGTTTCCTCCTGTAGTAACACTGGGTCAATAAGAGATGATCCTTACTGGACCTCTAGAAAGAACAGTTTAGAACTGATAGAGCTATCCAGTATAAATAAAGTTAGTTTAGTTTAGGTTTCCTCCTGTAGTAACACTGGATCAATAAGAGATAATCCTTACTGAATCTCCAGGAAGAACAGTTTAGAACTGATAGAGCTATCTAAGATAGTTAAGTTTCAAGCGATGTATACCTACCATAACTTTAAGCGGTTCAGTAGTCCGTCCATTGATAATAAGTTTATCTGCAGCGCGGGCGCGGCCACCTTCGAACGTGATCCTAGAGTCAGCGGCGTATTTTGTGGTGCCCCTTATATCTCCAATAATCCAGTTATCATTTTGATCTTTTAAACCTGAAAGATGATCGCATCATGGTAAAGGTTTTCTTCCAGGGAAGTTGAAAGGGAATTTCAGTGGCGCACGTCCCACCACTTAGCTCGCAAAACCAATCTGTTTTGCTGGCTTTCAGAAAGCATTAATAGTGAGCTTATAAGCAAAGCGAGATTTTTGTCAACACCAGGGCGCTGTAAAGGTACGACTGAGGCTACGTTGACACTGTAGTGGATAGCTTTACGTAGCGACGTAAAAAAACACCTATCCCTACCTTTTAGGAACGCTATTTTCAGAGGAATTATTACAACGGAGAGATGTTGTCTTGCTCAGCTTCTGAAAGTTATACATTCCGTATCGGAACTTTTTCCGAGCCGATACAGAAAACTATCCGGTAGGGTGTAAACCTAGCCTAATGGACCTTTAACCTTATAACTAAACTTTCATCACAGCTTGAAAGAGCATCACAAAATTAGTAATATTCCAAAGTTTCGTTGCGAAATGTTGTAAAATGCGGATAATATAGCCTTGCGAAGTTTGCAATTTTCAGTCATTTTAGATTACAAACGGAAAATTGATACCCAAACACCCGATTTGGGTATCAATTTCCCGTTTGTAATCTAAAATGACTGAAAATTGCATATATCGCTGCATATTGCGCCATAGCACGCGTGTATTAAGGAAGCAAAAAACTTTAAAAATCTTATGTTTTGTCATGTGTTGAAAATTACCACAAACTAATACAAACACAGTTTTTAATCCAGTCCCTCCTCGGCAATCTGACGTGAGCATGAATATCACTATATTTTTCGATTTTACTTTTTGTGTCTAAATACAATACTACTACATATAATGGGGGGATATTGACCAGTTAGCGAAACACAAAATATCATACACAAACCTATATTATTGTAAGTTGCTGATTGTTCCTGAACAAGAAGGTTAGCAGATCCAACTGGCAGGGTAAACATTACTGCAGCATTTCCATAACCTGCAAGATACGTTCCTTGTAGTTTTGTGTGGCGAGTATATCGGTTTTGGTTGGTGGAAACATCACGTCACAAATTAACGAATTTACGTGGTATTTCCACAAACTGAAAATGTATTTATTGGGGTTTTTTTCATTTCAACCGTATCGTAACGTATCGTAGTATTTTCTTTTGTGTCGAAGTCATTTGTTCCACTCTAGTGCTCAGGAATCAAAGAAATACCCTACGCTTCGGTTGAAGTGCCTTTGCCTGTTTTCCATTTCAACCGTATCGTAACGTATCGTAGCATTTTCTTTTGCGTCGAAGTCATTAGTTTCACTCTATGTGCTCAGGAATCAAAGAAATGCGTTACGTGTCGGTAGGATACGGTTGAAGCTACATAGTTCAGTTGTCAAGCTTTAACGGGAAGTTCATATGTATATATACTAAGGTGATACCACGATAAAGTATACCGTATTTACTCGATTGAGCGCCGCCCCCGATTGAGCGCCGCCTCCGAATAAGCGCCGCATTTGAGATCAATTTTTTTTAAAGAGCGCCGCCCCCGAATGAGCGCCGCACTAAACAATGTAAAAACTTTCCGCGTCAAAATTATTGGGACATTTAGTGACAAAAACCTTTTAAAACTTGTCTATTTTATAGTTAAAAGTTCTTGTCATAATTCACAAATAAAATATTTTTTAAAGAGCGCCGCCCCCGATTGAGCGCCGCATCTGAAGCTCTAAAAATTTAAAGAGCACCGCGGCGCTTAAACGAGTAAATACGGTATGGGTAAATATTGGCGCGTCTCACTCGATTGAAAGTGTTGAACAAATTTGAGATCAGACAAAGAAGTCACACTACAAACCGCGGCCTCTATGTCTTGTATTATATGAAGATTTGACCAAACGACACATAGATCCATCTCCGGAACAAATTCGGCAACGATCGTAAGATTTCCGATCAAATGTTCTATCACATCCGACTTTCTATAAAAAATAAAAAATTTGGTTATTAATCCCGATTGACAAGAAAATACACGGTTCTTCAGCAGCTAGATGGGATTCAGAATAGTAGCTCATATCATCATCAAAGCAAACTTCCTGACAGCTTGTCTATAAATTTGGAAATGTTTCTTCAGAGATCTTGTCAAGATCGATAGGAGTTTACTTCTCTGACGTTTTGAAATAAACAGATGCACAGAACTACACAAACCAAAACAGCGGGTTAAATTTTAACCGAGGGTTAGCAGTAATCAACCTTTGAATAACCGAGCCAGGTATATTATTTATTTAAAAATATTTTACAACGATAACCCTTCAGAATCTACACATATCTGTTTTTCAAGAGGTTGTTGAACAATAACACATGTAGCTACAAAAATTACATCCACATACAACTCCTATACTATATTATACAACTACTATATTATACAATTACTATATTATGTTAAAAATATTTACAAGACTCAGCGACGGTCAAGAATATACTTAAATTTTGCTATACACCAATCCCTTTCTCTTTTGCACATTTTGGCAAGTCATTCCAAACTGAAGCGGCAGAATAGGTAATACTTTTCTTCATAAAATTAGTTTTTAGTTTCTTTAAAACAAAATCCGTATTGTTGTTGCGTAAATTATGATTTGAGTTGTTTTTCATTTCATATTTACCAATCATTGATTGTGGCAGTTTAATATTATTTTTAACGTTGTATGCAAACATTGCTTTCTTGTTCCGGAAACGATCTTTCAAGGGTAGCCAGTCCAGTTCACTTAATATGTTTTCGGAACTTATCTCGTAACTACTGCCAGTGATTACTCGTGCCGCTCTGCTTTGTAATGAGTTGAATCCACTTCAATTTTCTGAAGAAAAACTTACTCTACATTGCCCCATGACACAGACATCTCGCTCATCTTGGTAGCTGGAGCATAATGTACCATCTGTGACTGTTGTTGGGAAGTACGTCACGCTGTTGCCTATTCGACATCGTAACCGACATGGCGCGACCGCTAAAACACAGTAGATAACATTAGAAACTGGCAAGAAGAATTATGAACACGAGTTTTAATTTACGGGGCAGCTGATGGTGTGAACTTATGAAAAGTTGTTTATTGAATTTTTCACTTCATTGGAGCGGATTTTCCAACAGGCTATTGCTGTGTTGGTGCAATGTACTCAGATGAATAAGACTGCTTGTGATGTTACTCTGAGTGTATATCCACACCGGGAAGGCATGAAAAATATGCCCGGCCACGGTGGGATTCGAACCTTCGACCTTTGGAATACTAGCCCAATGCTCTGCCAACTGAGCTACGCCCAATTGATAGGGGATCCGAGGTATCTACTATTGTCTAATTGATTAGGGGATTGTGCGCCCAATTGGTAGGGGATCCGAGGTACCTACGAAAGTCTAAGGTAGCTCTTCCTCCTCAATTATCGTAAGACCTTGAGTAGAGGTCCGACCAAGGAATGAACCCGGGTCTCCCAGCTCGAATGGCAAGCGTGGTGAGCACAACACTACAAGTGCTGGTTAATGCAAGTGATAAGTACAGAAGCAAGAGAATAGAACTGCATTTCTCAATTCTAGTACATTTTCCTCCAAATACAAGATTACTACATAGAATGAAAAGAATGAAAATTATTTTTTCACTCTGATAACTGCAGGTTGACCACCATCTGCTTTACGATACTGCTTAGTTCAAGCCATGCTCTTACCTTCAAAAAAATCAACATACGAGGGACTTTTCGCTTTGCATTGCTCGAGACGAAAACTGTCTGTGCCCGCTGGACAATCTGCAGTATTGCAGGTTTCATAATGACCTTTACTATCACCTTCACACTCTTTACCAAAAAACTCAGGTCTAAAAAAACAAAATAATAACAGTGTGGTTTATAATTACATCACTCTGTAAATAAACAGTTTTCAGGGTTAAATGAGGATCCAGTACAGATTGCATACGTTGTCGTGGTTTGTGTCTGAACTACCTGAAAAAGATATCTCAAACGTGGTGGTCCAGTAGTAAGCTGTCGTGGTTTGTGTCTGAACTACCTGAATAAAAGATTAAAAATACTTTCGAGTCTTGGCTCGTGTTATCTTCAGGTTCTTCAGACACAAACCAGAGCTTATTGTACATTCCTTACACGATAAACTATGGAGACTTACGGAGGGTTATCACAAGTACGTGTTCTATATCTCACACCCATACCACACGATCTAGTACAGTTAGAGAAAGTCACAGACCACGAACTCCATTGTCCATCAATTGGATCAGGTATTGGTTGATCTACACATTCACCATTTCTACACCACTACATCCAAAATAAACAAATGAAATGTTGAATCAAATTTATTTGTACCAAACCATCGTAGGTTTCTATACTCTTGTTTCCTCCTGTAGTAACACTGGATCAATAAGAGATGATCTTTACTGGACCTCTAGGAAGAACAATTTAGAACTGATAGAGTTGCATGTATCCAGTATAAATAAAGTTAGGTTTCCTCCTGTAGTAACACTGGACAAATAAGGTTTGGTCTTACTGGACCTAGGGAGAACAATTTAGAACTTATAGATTTATCCAGTATAAAGTTAGTTTAGTTTAGGTTTCCTCGTGTAGTAACACTGGATCAATAAGAGATGATCCTTACTGGACCTCTAGGGAGAACAGTTTAGAACTGATAGAGCTATCCAGTATAAATAAAGTTAGTTTAGTTTAGGTTTCCTGCTGTAGTAACACTGGATCAATAAGAGATGATCCTTACTGGACCACTAGGAAGAACAGTTTAGAACTGATAGAACTATCCAGCATAAATAAAGATATATAGTTTAGTTTACGTAGGTTTCCTCATGTAGTAACACTGGATCAATAAGAGATGATCTTTACTGGACCTCTAGGGAGAACAGTTTAGAACTGATAGAGCTATCCAGTATAAATAAAGATAGTTTAGTTTAGGTTTTCTCCTGTAGTAACACTGGATCAATAAGAGATAATCATTACTGGACCCCTATGAAGAACAGTTCAGAACAGATACAGTAGAGCAATCCAGTATAAATAAAGTTAGTTTAGTTTAGGTTTCCTCCTGTAATAACACTGGATCAATACGAAATTATCGTTTCCAGTACAAATAAAGTTAAACCCTGATATATTTTTAGATGAGCATCAGGAATTCCACAGAATACCTTGTAAGTTCCGCACTCTGTGCCTTCTAGCGGTGGAGTGGAGCGATGTGCGCAAGTGTTGGTGCCCACTTTATGACAGTATATAGTCCTACAATTACTCTAAAAACATAAAAAAATCACAAAACACAAATTGAACTGGGTGGTTATTGAAGGGTTGTGTAAATGGAATTTTCGACTGTGAATTTTATACATTTGCTACACCTAACCAGGGGCAGTCGCGAGAAATGCAACTGTAGGCCATAGGCAGCTGTCTGATTATAATTTCAGTCGCATGCGAGAAGAGTGCTCCCAGTCTGATTGAACGGGTTCTCTCCTGTTCTAAGATGGCCATGCTGGACAAACAAACAAACAAACAAACAAACAAACAAACAAACAAACAAACAAACAAACAAACAAACAAACAAACAAACAAACAAGCAAACAAGCAAACAAGCAAACAAACAAACAAACAAACAAACAAACAAACAAACAAACAAACAAACAAACAAACAAACAAACAAGGGCGGATTTCCATTTCTTTTAAAAGGAGAGGTAGAAAAAGTTCTGGTGGGGTGCAACCCCTGTCGAAGCTGGCTCAGTGGTGCTGCTTAGGCGTTTCATACAAAATAGGAGGGGTGAAGCAAAATTTTGGTGGGGTGAACACTTTAGGGGTTAGAGAGATTCTAGGAGGGGTTTAACCCCCCCCCCCTTAACCCACCAGTAAATACGCCCATGCAAACAAGCACAAACGCAAACAAACCTTGAAAGCTCCACAATGATTATAGTTATCTCCATACATCAAACGGCATTGATCATCTCCAGAAAAATTCTTAGCCAAGTTTATAACGCTGACAGACTCACTCGTGTCAAGGCCAGGGGGGACGTCATTCAAACATGAGAATGTATTGCTGTAAGGAAATAAGATATTCAAACTTTGGCGGAGAATGGCTTTCAAATAGAGACGAAGCGCGGGAATCGGGAAAAGTAGTTATGATCTTTTATAATAGTGAGTATAAAAGCGATCACGTATCAAAAATAGTTCGTCGGGATAGTCTGTCTTGTGTTGATACTGAAATAAATCATGCATTCGTCCCAAATGTCGTACCTGTCACTAAACTTCGCCTGAAGTATCTGTCGACTGCACGAAGACCAACTGAACGCATTTGCACCCGACGCCAAAGCAGCATGCATGATGTAACCCTTTGAACAATCACCCGAGTCATGACTTAGACCAAAACTAGAGGCAAGAAATTTGAAGAAGGATTATGGAAGGCCAACTTGTATTGATCCAGTGTTACTACAGGAGGAAACCTAAACTAAACTAACTTTATTTATACTGGATAGTTCTATCAGTTCTAAACTGTTCTTCCTAGAGGTCCAGTAAGGATCATCTCTTATTGATCCAGTGTTACTACAGGAGGAACCTAAACTAAACTAACTTTATTTAAACTGGATAGCTCTATCAGTTCTAAACTGTTCTTCCTACAGGACAAGTAAGGATCATCTCTTATTGATCCAGTGTTACTACAGGACGAAACCTAAACTAAACTAACTTTATTTATATACTGGAGAGCTCTATCAGTTCTAAACTGTTCTTCCTAGAGGTTCAGTAAGGATCATCTCTTATTGATCCAGTGTTACTACAGGAGGAAACCTAAACTAAACTAACTTTATTTATACTGGATAGTTCTATCAGTTCTAAACTGTTCTTCCTAGAGATTCAGTAAGGATCATCTCTTAGTGATCTAGTGTCATACAGGAGGAAACCTAAACTAAACTAACTTTATTTATACTGGATAGTTCTATCAGTTCTAAACTGTTCTTCCTAGAGGTCCAGTAAGGATCATCTCTTAGTGATCTAGTGTTACTACAGGAGGAAACCTAAACTGACTTCATTTTTACCCGAAAGCTTTCTAAAATGTTCTCCCTAGATGTGTAAGGATCATAACTTATCGGATTAATAGTAATCATGCTATAGATAAACATACTTGTGTCCTGTTTCATGAGCCGCCGTGAGGCCAGCACTAAGACCAGCGGCAATGGCACTAGCAACTGATCGTGTTGGGTTGCACATGCTGCCAAAATATCCACGACCGTTTTCATAACAGCTAGTTGCCAGTCCACAAACTTGTTTCGTTATCAAGATAGCTTGATCAAAATGTTTGGGGTCATTGTCATCAGGAGTGTTGAACTGTGATACCCAAGTGGCAAACACACTGAGGTATTTCACTGAACCGTCTATCTCGTTCTCTGTGACGTCCAACCCTTTCTGAATTGAGAAATTAGAGCTAATTAAAATTAAAGTTAATTAGAATTAAAATTAAACAGAATTAAACTTAATTAGAATTAAACTTAATTAGAATTAAAGTTAATTAGAACTAAAGTTACTTAGAATTAAAGTTTATAGAATTAGAGTTAATTAGAATTAAACTTGATTAGAATTAAAGTTAAATTTCTATATTGACTTAATTAGAACAAGAGCCCAAGGCGAGATGTTGTATGTATGATACAACACAGACATTAATTTCTTTTGAATTTGCTTCATGAATTATTAACGAGTTTTACAATGGACCATATTGTCGGCCTCGATTTCAAGCTATTGTTTAAAGATATTCAAGTGTTTGTAGAGTAATTTCTCCAGGTTTAAGCTTGATTACCTCATATCCAGAAATAATCATAACTTTTACGACCGTGTAGATTACTTTAATATCACCAATAGAGGTATCTTGCATGACGGCATTCAACTAAACAATGGGATGCAATGATTAGTGCTAAGCCAACTTTATTTATACTGGATATCAGTTCTAAACTGTTCTTCCTAGAAGTCCAGTAAGGATATCATCTCTTATTGATCCAGTGTTACATCAGGAGGAAACCTAAACTAAACTAACTTTATTTATACTGGATAGCTCTATCAGTTCTAAACTGTTCTTCCTAGAGGTCCAGTAAGGATATCATCTCTTATTGATCCAGTGTTACATCAGGAGGAAACCTAAACTAAACTAACTTTATTTATACTGGATAGCTCTATCAGTTCTAAACTGTTCTTCCTAGAGATCCAGTAAGGATCATCTCTTATTGATCCAGTGTTACTACAGGAGGAAACCAGAGTTCTACGGGTAGTGTTCCGTCAAACTGGAAGCATTCTTCTCACATGTGACTGAGGAGAAATTGTAACGAGACAACTGCATATTGCAGGTGAAACGGCGGTGACAGGAAGATGAATATATGTACTACTAACAACATGATTCCGCCGAAAAACCCAGCAACTTACAGTAAGTTTCGTTTTACTATTATTAATTATAAAATCTGTCAGGTGTGTATATAATAATTGAGCCTCTTTCCACTTACAAGATAAGCAACAGACAGAAGATATTGTTCCGTGAAATCTCCATACCGCTCAGTTGTGTAGCGATCTGCGACCAACATCACCTCAACGTAACGATTGTTAGATGTGGAACGTTTCGTTCTTGTCCAATGTGGAATATTGTTGAGCCATGAAGAATCTGAAGCGAGTTCAACTATATTAGCGACGTCACCCAAAAATTATCAATCAAGTTAGAAAAACACTTACCAACTTGTTGCAAGGTGTTCTCGTGTTTGTGTTTTGTTATTACATGACGTAAGTCTTTATTGGAAGGATGGATTGTCAATGTATACCTGTGCGTGACAAGGACGCCAGACTACAAAAAAATTGCCCAAAAGAAAGCAATAATTAGTCCCAAGTCTAGGGAGGACAAGTACATCAGAGTTAAGCTGGATTTCCACTTCCAAGAAAAATTTCGCTGACAATATTTTTCGTTCAATTTCTTTCGAATTGTGAGCGGTCAAGCAGAACTGATTTATTTGGATGTTCACAATTCAAATATTTCTCTGTGAGTGGAAATCCTCCCTTATGAAGTGTCGTATTTAAAGGCAAGTAAATAGAAAACGACAAATGTTAGTTCATTCTAAAAGGTTATTTACAATAATAATTTTTGCTGCGATGTTTTTCTGATGGATGTGAACGAGTTATGAATGCTCCGCAGATGAAGGCGCATATATGCATAAAAAAAAGACAATCGCACCAGAAATCGGAGCTAAAATTGCAGGTGTAAACAGGGCTTTAAGTGTCAAAATTTATTATTAGTGAGGTTTAGATCTTAATAGACAATTCCCATTATAGACTAATTTTCAAACTACAGTAGGCAAGGAGATGCAAATAAATCACCACAGCTAGAACTAGAGCATGCTAAAATTAGTAAAATTACAAAGTTTGGTTGCGAAAGGTTGTAAAATGCGGAAAATATAGCCTTGCAAAGTTTGCAAATTTTGTATACTTTTGTATTGCATGCGGAAATTGCTACCATTTTCGTCCCAAATGTGGCAGGAATGTGATTTTACTAGTAATTTTAGTATGTTCTTTCTGTGGTGATTTATTTGCATCTCCTTGCCTAGTTTTAAAATTAGTCTATAATGGAAATTGTCTATTCCACTACCGTTACCATTAACGGACCATTAACCAATCAGATGCGTTTAATCTACCCGATTAACCAATCAGATGCGTTTAATCTACCCGATTAACCAATCACATGCGTACTTCGTCAGCCGGTAGTCCGGTCTGAACCTCACTGTAGTGAAACGGAAATTGCTAGATAGTATACTTCAAAATAAGGTTTCCGTTTTTATATCAATTTTTTAAATAAGTTAGGGTTAGGTTAGGGTTAGGGTTAAGGTTAGTATTAGGGTTTAGTTTTGCGTTTGGATGTTTTTTTCTACGTTATAAAAACGGAAACCTTATTTTGAAGTATACTATCTAGCAATTACCGTAGTGAAACGTTTACATACCAAAGATCCATTATTGACTTTCACAGCCAAACTAGAGCCAGGCTTACTCTGTATATACCCAGTATAATAATCACCAAGATTTTCCCGTGATACTGTGCGGCCGTTGTGACGACGAATAACTTGAGCCTGCGGTATTGCTAACTGGACATTTCTGAATAAGACCAATTTCAGATCCTCACCAAAAGCATGTAGCTCAAAGTGTAGTTGGTTGGGGATACTCAGCTTTATTTCCTTAACTTCCACTTCTTCTTCTTCAATGTCTAAATCAAAGTGAAGTTTAATTTAAACTCAGACTCTCTATAGTCAAGGAAACCGCAGCACCCGGGGAAAGTGAGTAAATTTAAGATTAAACTGGGCCGGAACTGGCAGGCGAACCTGCGATTCCCATGCAGCGCTCTAACCATAGATATCTTATATACACTAGATAGATCTCTTTTAGTGGTTACCCCCATTTGAATAGATGGCGGCCATGTTGGTCGTTCCCACTTGCTAATAAACGGTTAAAAACAACAATAACTTTCATCATTTGAATAGTTTAAAAAGTATTTGGAATAGGGTTGATGTTTACGTTCGTGTAAGAAATAGAAAACATACGAATTTTCTCATTTCATGGGAACGACCTGAGACTGCAATCACGGCTTCAATTTTTGAATTGCAGAATAATTAGATGCACTATCTAGTGTATATAAGATATCTATGGCTCTAACCAACTGAGCTAGAGAGGCCAGTTGTCGAGCTGTAACCGCAAGCTCATGTATTGATAGATTTTCAGGTGCCGTGTGTGGGTTGTGTGAACTTGGTTCAAGTGAAGTGCTAAAAAAACAATCGAGTGTCTGACGTAGGCTGTCTGACGTAGGATGTCATGTCCGACAGGATGAAAAACAGTTGTTTTATTTTTAGATTTGTTATCAGTTTAAACATGCGTTTTTCATCCGTCTGTTGACGAAAATAATCCAGTATTTACGTTTTTTTAATTTTGTCACGTCTGTGTATTGGCAGGGCCGAAAGAAGGGTCAGGGCACTTTGCCACGGGTCTCCAGCTCAAAAGCCCCCCCCCCCCAAAAAAGAAACGAAGGGGCCTTAAAATTACTTGATACAAGGTTGCTTAGCTGAGAAAATGAATCCTCTGAGTGCCGGATAATATGCAATAAATTAAGGAAAATTGTACTTAAGAATAGACCTTTCCCCTTTTGAGTGAAATTTTGATCTAGACAAGTCTGGACAAAAATTTCATCACAGCTTGAAAGAGCATCGCAAAATTAGTAATATTCCGAAGTTTCGTTGTGAAATGTTGTAAAATGCGGATAATATAGCCTTGCGAAGTTTGCCGTTTTTCAGTAATTTTGCATTTAATACAAATGGGAAAGTGATAATCAGTTTGATCATCTGATTATCAAATGCAAAATGACTGAAAAACGGCAAACTTCGCAAGGCTATATTATCCGCATTTTACAACATTTCACAACGAAATTTCGGAATACTACTAATTTTGGGATGCTCTTTCAAGCTGTGATGAAATGTTTGTCCAGGCATATCTAGATCAAAATTTCACTCATAAGGGGAAAGGTCTATTGGACAAATTTCAAAAGAACGAAACATATGATGAGTGGAAAATGTTCCGTACGTACCCGCGATGGACTGCTGTCGTTTTTCTAAACTTGCACAATTCACATCCTGTGGAACAAAAAAGCGTGGTGAAATTCTCATAAAATGCAAAGTTGAAACTCCAACGATGCGCGCCAATACAGAAAAACAGCGAGCGCAATACCCGCGCGCAAAGGCCAGGTACAGCCCTCGATTATAAAGTACTGCGCGCATTGCAATTATAGACGCAAGGGTACGCACATTTTTTAACTGCGCCTGAATTGAGAAACATATGTTGCAATTACAAGGTTTAAAATATCACAGGGAGTTGCTTTAAGTAGGCGTACGAGATATTTCGAAATATTGACAATTAAAATAAGCGAGAGAATAAACTAGACACTTGTACCTCGAATATTTAGAAATATAGAACTGTATTTAGTGGAATCCTCCTCAGTGAGATAAATACACGATTATGAAACAAGATTAGAGACGGTATTTAAAATGTCATGTGAGTACTTTGAGATGTAAACAGCGATCACTCAAGAAGACGGTTAGTGCTCTAAGCAAGTTTATACAAATATACACCTAGTGAGAATAATAGTCCGATGGTATAGAAAGACATATGGGAATGACATACCTTTATAAACAATACTGGAATCACAGCAAACAATACATGAAGGAATTTCATGGTTGAAAATATGTAGAGGTTTACACTGCTATATGTTGTGTAGCACCAGGTGTAGTAGTTATTATATCCGCAATATACAATGGCTCACTGCCAGTGAACATACGAAAGAGTCAAACTGCTCAGAGAGACGAGCGACAGAGCTTTCTACACGCTGAAAGGCGATCAAGGTCGATCCTTAAAGCGCCTGTTTATGAGATTTACGGCGGCAACTGGCGAGTGAGAGGATTTGAAAATGAATTATTGGTTTCATGTTACGACATAAGATCTTGGTCAGACCATGTTTGGAAAGAAATATTTATCTCAGAAATGTCGCAGACAATTGGAATGAAAACAAATTTATGACATAGTCTTAATGTTGTTTTCTTCTGGAAAAATTGTGCGTTAGAAAAATAGGGGGAAATTTAAATGACAAACAGTGCGATGGCAAAATATACTAAGTCTCAACATGTGGCTACAAGTTCAAAGTGCAAATGACCTGTTTTGAAAATCTACCCACAAAACAATGATAGGCTAATATCGACAGGCTGGTTGGCACTATTAAAGTTTCTGTGATCGCGGAGGTTTTCTAAGTTTTGAAGGATTTGTAAGAAAGTTTTGAGGGAACTGACTGATCACTGTTAAACAGTGGCATGGTGGCAGGGGGGCACGCTAACTGGCAATTGTGGGGGCGCAACAATGAAAACGGGGCGCCGAATTTTGAAAGTGGGTGTGAAAATTGTAAATGTATTCAGATAACTAGATCAGTAGAGAATAGAATTGGGATTAGATTAATCGCTTGAAGTACTACTACTAAATTCTAACCAAATTTCAAATTTCGACACGTTATAATGCCGTTTCCTGACCATCAGATTTCTGTCAAGTCTTCCCCCAAAGTCAAGGAAATGGGATTTCAGAGACTCTAAATTCAATGGGGGCATGCCCCCGGACCCCCCTAGACAAACCTTGAACCTACGGCGCCCGGCACGTGCCTTCAGCCCTCGTGTATCAAGCGTAACATTATAGGGGCGCATATTGGTTGACAGCCCACTGCCCCCCCAGAAAAATAGTACCCAGCACGCCACTGCTGTTAAATACCAATCAATTCCCTCAAACATTTCTTACAAATCCTTCAAAACTTAGAATTTACCTATGCAAAATTCCTACTGTGATCACGGACTAACTTTGATAGGATAAACCCAGGCTTAAACGAGTTTAAGATAGGCTTGGGCGGTTTTGCTTAAAATCAAAACGGAAAATCCGTCTGATTCTAAACAGGAAAACCGGTTTTTCCCTTTACTTTTGTACTTCAACTGAATGAAGAGAAATTGTGGTATTTTTTAGACATAAGCAAACGAACAGTACATGACAAAACGCAAAATTGTGCAAAGGTAACCTAAAACGACTTCAGTTTTAAACTAAAAGGGTCAAGAACGCATTTGAAAACTTATACCTCTTTAGTTCTTACCGACTTTACGGAAAAGAATAGAATTTGTATCTAGAATTAGTGTCATGTTTTGAGAATAAAGATCGAGTTTCAGGCGATGACAGTAAACAATTACGTAATGACGGTTTTCCGGTTTTTGTAAAAGCTAAACCGAAAAAACCGGTTTGAAAATAAAACCGAAAAAACCCGTAAAACCGGTAAACCGCCCAAACCTACACACGTAAAAATCTCACAACTTGTCAACAAGATGTGTTCGCAACAGGCTTGTAGCAAGCTTGTCAACAAGTTGTAACAATATTGTTGTTTTATCAAGTTGCTACAAGGTTGTCACTCACAACTTGTTGACAAATTGTTGAATTGCAGGACGATAACAAGTTGTTGGAACAACTTGTAACAAGTCTATTGAGCTCAATAACCTTGTAGCAGGTTGTCAACAAGCCGTTGACAATTTGTCAACAAGCTGGGAACAAGCGGTGCGAACACATCCTGTTGACAAGTTGTTGGAACAGCATTGCTACAAGTCTGCTGCAGGTTTGTTACAACTTGTGCATTTTTACGTGTGTAGGTTAAGATCAAAACACCTTATCACTTTTCAATACAAGGTTTGTTGTTAAATTTAACTCAAACAATGCAATTATAGACCCCCTGACAGGAATCGAACCTACGGCCCTGCGATTCCGATACAGCGCTCTAACCAACTGAACTACAGAGGCCAGTTGACCATTTGCGTAATAGACAAAATTTTGATCTAAACAAGTCTAGACAAAAATTTCATCACAGCTTGAAAGAGCATCACAAAATTAGTAATATTCCAAAGTTTCGTTGCGAAATGTTGTAAAATGCGGATAATATAGCCTTGCGAAGTTTGCAATTTTCAGTCATTTTAGATTACAAACGGAAAATTGACAGCCTCAAAGCGTATCGGGCTGTCAATTTCCCGTTTGTAATCTAAAATGACTGAAAATTGCAAACTTCGCAAGGCTATATTATCCGCATTTTACAACATTTCGCAACGAAACTTTGGAATATTACTAATTTTGTGAT